ATAGCAGGTCTACGTCATCTCTTGTGAGGATTAGAGTTAATATGCAAAAATAGTTAAGACAGTTTTAGTACATTATAATTTTGCATTTTAATCCTAAAAAATTTTTAATTGATTTTATTATTTTGCACTTTGTTATGGAAACTGTTAAAATCCTAAAACCCACTCCTTAAGAGCAGAAACTATGGCACAAAGCCCATTGGTTTATAAAGACAATAATTATATTATAGATATAAAAATAACAATTGAGGTTGTGCTGGCTAAATTAAAATGTGCATAGGGTCAACACAGCATTTGTTAAAATGTTGATCTCACTCTAGGGCAGGACTTGTGCATTCTTAATGCATAGGTGATGCCTCTGCTACTATTTGCAGACCCATTTGAGTAGTTGGCTACACATGGTTTGGCTCAAAGGAAAAAAAATAACTAGGAGGAAGAAAATAAAGTGAAATAATAGAAAATGCAAAAAGGGACCCCCCTGGTGGTGCAAGGGGTTAAGTCTCAGCACTTTGAAGCCATCTGAATCCACTGCCTCAGTTCTATGCCCAGCCAGAGAGCTAACCCAGAGGGAACAGCAGACCTTTCCTGTCTCACCACCATCTACTCCCCTCTGCAGTGTATTTCAGTAGATCCTCCTGTTCTGTTCCCCACTTTGTCTCAGGTAAATCCTCTCACCCCCACCCCACCCCCTCTCCATTCCCCAACCTCTGACCTACACCCAAGCTCTTCTATTTTCATATTGACATACCAAATTAACTTTCATAAACTTTATTCCAAATTAATCTTCTGAATTAATTATTGTTGGCTCTGTCAATATGCAATCCACTTTCATATAGCTGAATCAGTGCTAGAGAGAATTCTCATCATGTAGATATCTCTGCCTAGACATCTCCTTAAAGAGACTGTCCTTAGTCACGCTATAAAACCTCAGCTCCCTCAATCCTTTTGCGTTTTTTTTTTTTTTTTTTCAGTTACTATTGTTTGTAAAAGTATGTTATATATCACTGCAGAGGAGGCGGAGGGAGAGGGATCAGAGGGAGGGAGGGAGGAGCACAGGGGACTGTGGTGATGGTGCCTTGGGGAAGGAAATTCGATGGGGACTCAACCTGAGGGTGTGGGGGGAAGCAAATATTGTTCAAAAGAATTTTTTTAAATAGTTATAATTATATTTGAAAAAAATAAGAAAAAGTATATTATGTCTACACTCTGTCTCACAGTGACAGCAGGGATTGTTCATTGTTGTATCACAGACTCAGATATAGGTTGAATCATTACCAAAGTCCTCCAGACAGTAATATAGTAAAATCAAAACCGACAGTACTAGAAATATTGTAAATGATAAATATCTACCCTGTCAGTCCTTAGATTTAAGCCAGTTTACCATGGTTTTTTTAGTTTGTTTTTAAGATTCATTTTTATTTATGCATACAAGAACTGGGGAGTAGGCCAGAGGTGTGGGGGTTGAGAGGATTCACCAGACTGTGGGGAGCAGAACAGTTGGATCTACGGAAATACACTGCTGAGGGGAGCAGTGGGCAATACAAGAGAGGTCTGATGCACCACGTGGGTCAGCTCCCTGGCTGGGGATTGAACTCATACTGCAGTGGCTGGGCAAGTGGCTGGGCAAGTGGCTTGATAGCGCTGAAACTTGTGTCACCTGGGAGGCTCCCAGTTACCCATGTTAAGGGAAAGAACAAATTAGAGAATATGGGTGTTGGGCTGATCTAGGAATTCACATTACTTTAAAAAACTAAAATTCCTTTCTAAAAATCTATCCAATTTGCCCATGGTATTTCTGTGCTTTAATACTGGGGGCTTGTTAAATATATTGAAGACTCATACCATACACATATATAGATATAGCAACTAAAAAAATGTGATCCAAGCATATTTATTGATATGAAGTTTATGGGGAAAAAATGTAGCAAAATACTTAACTGTATGATCCCATTTTCATAAAAAGAAAATACGCATTACGTATGAGAATAAGTATACATTCTTTGGAGAGATGTACAGCAGCACCCTAACGGTTATTATCTCTGGGTAATGGGATTAAATTTGTATGTATTTTTTTCTCTAATTTCTCTTTTCACTTACATAAAATTGTTTTAGTGTTCTAGAATATAATTTGTGATTGATGTATTTGCATTCAACATCCATTCCAACTTCCTGCTGGAATGCCTTTCTATACAGCAGAAACTAGAATGCTAAAAAGTAATTCCCCTTGCAGAAAAGCTAATGGAAGATCTATCTGTTGTTTTAGCCTTTTTTTTCTTTAAAGATTTATTTATGCATACAAGAGCTGGGGTACAGGTGTGGGAGGTGAGAGGATTCACCAGAGACAGAGTAGGGAACAGAACAGACAGATTGACTGAAGTACACTGCTGAGGGGAGCAGCAGGTGAGTCAGGAGAGGTCTACTGCACCATGTGGGTTGCTCCCTGGCCGCCAGGGATCAAGAGGCTGTGGACTGCTTCATAGGTTGCGTCTTAACCCCTTGCGCCACAAGGGAGGCCCTGTTTTAGCTTTTTTGAGTGACATGCTTAACTATGAAAAGCTGAATTTTTCTGCATGCCCGTGTATAGTCACCAGATAGTCATAGCAGGTTCCTTACTCCTAGGACATAACTTGCTAAAGTGTTGTAATATCAGACCCAAGCTCAAGCCCACTCCTCTAAACCCTCCAATGACTTTGTAAGGAATGAAGTAGTTTCAAATCCTCAGTATTGGGGCCTCCCCGGTGGCGCAGCGGTTGAGCGCTGGGTTGCGAAGCTGCCCGCAGCCTCTGCGACGCTGGTTCGATCCCCGGCTGCTCCCCGGCCACCAGAGGAGGGTCCCACATGGCGCGCAGACCTCTCCTGCCGCCCGCTGCTCCCCTCAGCAGTGTACGTCGGTCCTTCTGCCTGCTCTGCTCCCTGCTCTGGCTCTGGTGAATTCTCTCACCCTCCCGCGCCTCTGACTATACCCAGTGCATGTATGAACAAAACAAACAAACAAACAAACAAATAAATAAACATGCCTCTATAAAAAAAAAAAAAAAATTAAAAAAAAAATTAAAAAACAAATCCTCAGTATTAATTCCCATTTTGCTTAAAATAGGCAGAGTGGTTTGTTTCCTGCATTGAGTCATCAGTGACATCAAAATGATAAATTGTACATCACCAACTTTAAAAATGATGGATACTTTATAAATCCATTTCAAAGGCATGCATGTGTATATACACATATAGGAGAAAAGATCACTAAAATACTAGTGTAATCATTTCTGGTGGTAGAACTTTGAACATTTTTGGCTTAACTTCTTCAAGTTTTTTTTAAGGGGAAACCTTAAAAGACATTTTTTCCCTCAAACAAAAGAAACAAAGTCCTCTTATAGAAAAAGTAATTTTTGAATGTTTTTTTAAATGTTTTAAGCAAGTAGGATTAACTAGAGGTATTAATCTACACGTAACACCGTAATACACACAAAAGTATGTATCATGGTCTAAATAGGGGAGCAAGTCCCCATGGTTCATGTTCTCTGAACAAATATTTGTCTATTCTAGTTGCACAGCCGAGCTGACTGCTCTCTGCTAGAAAAAAGGCAGCTATCTTGGGAACTAAACGTATGAGGCAAAACTGGCCAGTGCCACAGCTGTTGGCAGGCTTTTTTTGTTTATAATAGCAAAATTTATCCCTTAGAATTGGTTAGCTATTTTAAAAGGCATAAAACAGAAAGTGCCTCCTACTAACCAATCATTAAATGAGATTTTAAAATAAATAAGATTTTAGAAGGACAAAAGTGGTACAGGTAAAGAAAACTCTCTTTTAAATACTGTCCATATAATTAACATGTACAGGTTTCTGGGCTGCTCTTGATTCCTGCATTTTCTCTATCCACTAGCTTCCTATCTTAGGACCCACATAAGGACAAGCCATACTTCCTTGTTCACTGGCAGAAATTATCACGAAGGGTCACAATGTATTTAATAAAAGAAGAGGCAGATAAAGTAAACCATTCTTAAACTATGGAAATTTCGATGAAGGTATTTTATTAGGATTATATTAACAAGAAAAAATTCTTTTACCTATATACCAATTAACATGGTAGCTTTATAAGGCTATTTTCATATGTCATTTTATACTGCTCTTGTTAAAACTGCTTTTTAATGACACTTTTTAAAAAAAGATTTATTTATTTATGCATACAAGAACTGGGGTATAAGTCAGAGGTCCAGATGAGAGGATTCACCAGTTAGAGTGGGGAGCAGAACAGATTGACTGATATACACTGCTGAGGGGAGCAGCGGGCAAGACAGAAGAGGTCTGCTACACCATGTGGGTTGCTCCCTGGCCGGAGATGCTGTAGTGGCTGGCAGTAGCTTGATAGTACTGTCTTTAACCCCTGCGCCACCAGGGAGGCCCCCTAATGACACATTTTTAATTTTGATGAATTCTAATTTTGGATTTAAAGTCATTGTTTTCTATGATCTAAGAAACCTTTGGCTACCCTCAAGTAACAAAGATGTTCACCTGCTTTCCTCTAAAAAGTTTTATACTTAATATTTCAATCTATGATTCATTTATGAGATAAAGGTCACTTTATGAGATAGGATTGTTGTATTTTTCTAGTAGATATATAGCTATTCTGGCTCCATTTGTTGAAAACTTTCCTTTTCTGTTGGATTATTATTATACCTTTGTCAAAAATCAAGTGAGTATAAACATGTGGATTTGCTTTTCAGATTCTATTCCAATGATTTACTGATCTTCAATTACTGTCAGCATCACACTGTCTTATTTACTTGGCTACTATTTATGATATTCCCTGTACTGCTTTATGCTTTACAAAATTTAAGACTCTATGAGAATGTAAATTAAGCTGAAATAAATTAATGAGACCAAGATGAGCCTAAAATAATCCTTGAGAAGTGATTTTTTAAATTTGTACTTGAAAATACTTCACAATTACTATTATATCCTGAGTAAAATATTTTACCCACAACAAATGAAAAACTACAAATTCTTTATTACTTTAAATTGAATTATGGGTGAAAAATAATTCGTTATTTTACTCAATTCCCACCAGGCTTTCTCACATTAGTTATTTAATAATACTACAAAATAGTAAACTTATGAACAAAATATCCACGTTTTTGAAGTTAGAATATGAACATGCAAGTCTCCTCACACGTTTAAACTTTCCCATAATAAAATGATAAAAAGTCAAGTGTCAATCTCAGAAATGTGCCTACTAAAGAAAAAGGTAGACTACTTCTTTCCTTTATAAAATGTTGTTTTTATAAAATGTCCTTTAAAATTTAACTTGTAAATAAGGAATAGGAACAAGAATACAATATATTTTATAAAACAAAAAACACAGCAACTCTCCAAGGTCATTTAAAAAAAAAAAAAAGAACAACTCCATTGTAGTACATGGCTTGTAAAAACTATTGGGCTCTATTAATTTTCTTCACATGGCACAGAAGGATCCTCCACTACCATCCCCCATTTTTTTTAAAAAAGCAGATAACCTTAATTGTCAAACGTCCAATTTTTTATGAAGATATAATTTACACAGCTTGAAAAATTGTTGGCAAACTGAAAGTAATACCAAAAATCTTTAAGATTTACAATTTGTTCTTAACCTGAAATTTTGCTTTCAGGAATAATACACCTTTCTGAAATAATTCTATAATACATAAATTAAAAACCCCAAACACTTAATTCTGGCTAAAGTAAAATTGAGGTGTTTATTACTTTTCCTATTGGTAGCAATGCAAACTACTAGAAACTGACTTTTGTACTTTTTCAAATGATCTGCATTAAAATCATATTTTTTCAAGTAATAGATATAGGCAACAAAACCCAACATTAAAACCCTCAAAATATATAGATATCAAAGACAAAAATACTGATTATTTTTCATTAATGATGAGAAGAAACAAGAGATCAAGTTTACTCAAGATCTGAAATTTATAAGTTTTGAGCATTTAACTGAGCAGAGATTGAAAGATTAATTATAACAATTACAGGTAGAGAACATCATCTGTGCACTTTCTTGGTTTATTACAGCAGTGATCTATCCAGAGAAGCAACAGGAGTTCTCAGATCCAAAGTTAAACAATAGAATTTGGGCAAACACTCACTCTTAACATCACTTTTATTTAATATGCACTACATGCACATGATGCAGGTTGGGAAAACGTTTACGTATCCATGCATTAGAGACAAAACAGAATGGTACTATTGCCAAACGTGCAGAGTCAATTAGGATGTTGCTCAAAGTTCTTTATACTTAATGGTTTCCATGAAAATAAGTGCAGAAGTAGAAATTTGCAGAGTATTTTCTTCATTTGGTTTCCTGTGCTTTCTTTGCATTCTGTTTTTCTTTTGCCTAGAAATTAAAGATAGTATGCTATAAAATCTTAGAAGTCTGTTCTAGATCACACTAAAATAAAATGTATCCCAAAAAGTAATTATGAATAAAATGTGTTAAGGAAAAATAATAAAACAAAACATGTCTAAGAGGGCATCCTTAGGTTAAAAGGCTTAAAATGCACTTTTGAGATTTTTAGAGTTTTATCTTTTGTAACTTGAAATATGCAGCAAATGCCCGTGCAACTATATGCTTTGCCTTCAATAAAAAAGGTTTGTAGCTTTTTTATATGAAGTTGAAGTATATTATAATTGTAATAATTTAAAAATACAGTTACTCATTCCATAGTCATATTCATTAATAAGTATGTCAAAACAATTTACATATGTGTTACATTTCTCAAATTATGTGTAAAAATACTTTATTAGTTTCTGCATATTTAAATAAACAAGTTTACATAATAGTTTTAATGAGTTTAACATATATCACTAAAGAATTGCACATACAGGCTGGTGATAAGCCTTACTTATACGACCTGAAAACTGTTTTCACATGTTATTTCATCTGATCCTCATAACAACTCTATATTGATAGTTGGACATGGTTATCCTATTTATTTATCTTTTAGCAGATGAAGTAGCCAGAACTTACAGATATGACCAAACGTGGTCAAAGTCACACATCATATAATACAACCTCAAAGAAGGTCAAACTACACATGATCTATAGCAGTGCTTCTCAATGTACATACCAATAACATGGAGACCTTTTATTTTTATTTATTTTTTTTTTACATCACACCTTTCCATTTATTTAGGCCTTTGAACTAATATTTTAAAAAGCTTTATATTATTTATTTATTTATTTATTTATTTATTTATTTATTTATTTATTTTTTAGATGGTGGGAATTTTTCCTTTTTTCTTTTTTTTTTAATTAATGAATTTTATTTTTATATTCCCCATACAATTGCAATCCCCCATTCTGACCCCAATCCCTCCCCTCCCGCCCCCACCCCCAAAAAAGTGTCTCTGGTTCATAGTTTTTGTTGATTTTGATTTTCACTTTCTTATAGTTATTCATTTTCCTGGTCCCTTATTTAAGTTTTCTAGATCCCTGCTATGAGTGAGACCATCCGGTATTTTTCTTTTTCTTTTTGGCTTATTTCACTGAGCATGATCCCTTCCAGCGTCATCCATGTTGCTGCAAATTGCATGTGTTTATCTTTTTGAATGCTGAGTAATATTCCATGGTATATATGTACCACATCTTCTTGATCCAGTCATCTATTTTTGGGCATTTGGGTTGTTTCCAAAGCTTAGCTATTGTAAACAGTGCTGCTATAAACATAGGGGTGCAGGTGTTCTTTGGAATTGATGTTTCTGTGTTCTTTGGGTAAATACCTAGGAGTGGAATTGCTGGATCCTGTGGAAGCTCTATGTTTAGTAGGTCCAGAAATCTCCACACAGCTCTCCATAGTGGTTGGACCAGTTTGCACTCCCACCAACAGTGCAGAAGAGTTCCTTTTTCTCCACAACCTCGCCAACATTTGTTGTTGCTAGTTTTTTTAATATGTGCCATTCTCACTGGTGTAAGATGGTATCTCATGGTAGTTTTGATTTGCATTTCCCTGATGACAAGTGATGTTGAACATTTTTTCATATGCCTGTTGGCCATTCGCATTTCCTCTTCAGAGAAGTTTCTTTTTAGTTCCTCTGTCCATTTTTTGACTGGATTATTTTCTTTGTTGTTGTTGAGTCTCATCAGCTCTTTGCAGATTTTTGTGATCAGTCCTTTATCATTAGTGTTGGGTGCAAAAATGTTCTCCCAGTTGGTGGGGTTTCTCTTTGTTTTTGTTATTGTCTCTTTTGCTGTGCAGAAGCTCTTTAATTTGATGTAGTCCCAGCTGTTGATCTTTGCCTTCACTATCACTGCTTTGGGTGATGTGTCTGTAAAGATGTCTTTGATATGCAAATCACGTAGTGTTTCGCCTATATTTCCTATGTATTTTATGGTTTCAGGTCTTATGTCTAGTTCTTTAATCCATTTTGAGTTGATTTTTGTATATGGTGTGAGGTAGTGGTCAAGCTTCATTCTTTTGCATGTAGCGACCCAGTTTTCCCAGCACCATTTATTGAACAAACTTTCTTTGCTCCAATGCATAGTCTTTGCTCCTTTGTCAAAGATTAGTTGACCATAAATCTGTGGGTTTATTTCTGGATTTTCTATTCGATTCCATTGGTCTGTATGTCTGTTCTTGTTCCAATACCATGCAGTTTTGATGATTATGGCTTTGTAGTAGAGTTTGAAGTCTGGGAGTGTGATGCCTCCATTCCCTTCTTTTTTTTTCAGGAGAGCTTTGGCTATTCGGGTTTTTTTGTGATTCCATATGAATTTCATCAGTAATTGTTCTATTTCTTTGAAGAATGACATTGAAATTTTGATTGGAATAGCATTGAATCTGTATATTGCTTTTGGTAGGATGGCCATTTTAATAATGTTTATTCTCCCAATCCATGAGCAGGGGATGTCTTTCCATTTCTTTGTGTCTTCTTCTATTTCTTTTAATAGTGTTTTATAGTTTTCTTTGTATAGGTCCTTTACCTCTTTTGTTAGATTTATTCCCAAATATTTGATTTTTTTTGTTTCAATAATAAAAGGGATGGTTTTTTTGATTTCTTCTTCTTCAGATTTATTGTTTGTATATAGGAAGGCTACTGACTTTTGCGTGTTGATTTTGTATCCTGCCACTTTACTGAAATGATTGATGAGTTGAATTAGTTTTTCTGTGGAGTTTTTGGGGTTCTCTATGTATATTATCATATCATCTGCAAAGAGTGATAGTTTGACTTCTTCTTTTCCTATTTGGATTCCTTGGATGTCTTTCTCTTGTCTTATTGCCCTGGCTAGGACTTCCAGTATTATATTGAAAAGCAGTGGTGAAAGTGGACATCCTTGTCTTGTTCCAGATCTTAATGGAATAGCTTTCAGCTTTTCACCATTGAGAATGATACTGGCTGTTGGCTTGTCATATATGGCCTTTATGATGTTGAGGTACGTTCCTTGTATCCCAAGAATTTCAAGGGCTTTTATCATGAATGGGTGTTGCACTTTGTCGAAAGCTTTCTCAGCATCTATTGATATTATCATATGGTTTTTATATTTCTTTTTGTTGATGTGTTGGATAACGTTGATTGATTTTCGGATGTTAAACCATCCTTGTGTCCCTGGAATGAATCCTACTTGGTCGTGGTGAATTACCTTATGGATACACTGTTGGATTCTGATAGCTAAAATTTTATTGAGGATTTTTGCATCAGTGTTCATTAGGGAGATTGGCCTATAGTTTTCTTTTTTTGTGTTGTCCTTGTTCGGTTTTGGTATTAGTGTAATGTTGGCTTCATAGAACGTGTTAGGTATTATACCTTCCTTCTCAATTTTTTGGAAGAGTTTGTGAAGGATAGGTACCAATTCGTCTCTGAATGTTTGGTAGAATTCATTTGTAAATCCATCAGGTCCTGGGCTTTTGTTTTTGGGGAGGTTTTTGATTACCATTTCAATTTCGCTAATTGTAATTGGTCTGTTTAGGTGTTCTATTTCTTCTTTATCTAGCTTTGGGTGATTGTAGAGTTGTAGGAATTTGTCCATCTCCTCTAGATTGTTAAACTTGTTTCCATATAACTGTTCATAGTAGTTATTAATAATTCTTTTGATTTCTGCTGTGTCCGTTGTGATTTCTCCTCTTTCATTTATTATCCTATTTATTTGTGCTTTCTCCCTTTTTGCCCTTGTGAGCCTGGCAAGGGGTTTATCTATTTTATTTATTTTTTCGAAGAACCAGCTCTTGGTTTCATTGATTTTTGGATTGTTTTTTTAGTTTCGATTTCATTTATTTCTGCTTTGGTTTTTATTATTTCTTTTCTTCTACTGGTTTTGGGGCTTTTTTGTTGTTCTTTTTCTAGATCTTTGAGTTTCGAGATTAGGTTGTTTCTTTGAGTTCTTTCTTGTTTCTTGATGTGAGCATCTATTCCTATATATTTTCCTCTTATTACTGCTTTTGCTGCATCCCATACATTTAGGAAATTGGTGTCCTCCTTGTCATTCAATTCAAAGAATTTTTTAATTTCTTCTTTTATCTCCTCGTTAGTCCAGTGGACTTCCAGTAGTGTGGGTTTCAATCTCCACGAGGTAGGAGAATACCTTGCCTTCTCTTTATGGTTTATTTCTAGTTTGATGCCTTCATGGTCAGAAAAGATGGTTGGTATGATTTCAATCTTGGTGTATCTGTTGATGTTTGTGTTGTGCCCCAGTATATGATCGATCCTAGAGAATGATCCATGTGCGCTTGAGAAAAATGTATACTCAGATTTTTTTGGGTTTAGTGTTCTATATATGTCTGTTAAGCCTAAGCACTCTAGATCCTTATTTAGAGCTTTAGTGTCTTTACTTATTTTTTGTCTTGTTGATCTATCCATTGTTGATAGTGGTGTGTTGAAGTCTCCCACTACGTATGTGTTTTCTCTGATGTCTGTTTTCAGAGATGCCAATAGTTGTCTGATATATTTTGGTGCTCCTTCGTTTGGTGAATATATGTTAATGAGTGTTATTTCTTCTTGAAGTATTATCCCCTTGATCATAATGTAATGACCACTGGGGTCTCTTTTTATCTTTTTAAGTTTGAAATCTGTTTTATCTGATATGAGTATAGCTGTTCCTGCCTTCTTTTTTGGTCCATTTGCTTGTAGAATTGTTTTCCATCCTTTAACTTTGAGTCTATTTTTATCTTTTGCAGCTAAATGTGTTTCCTGGAGACAGCAAAAGGTTGGGTTTTGTTTCTTAATCCAGCCTGCAACTCTGTGTCTTTTTATTGGAGAGTTTAGTCCATTTACATTTAGAGTTAGTATTGATATGTTAGCATCTGTATTTGCCATTGTGTTTGTCTTTCCTTTGATTTTATTTATTTATTCTTTTAATAACTTTCTTTGGCCTTCTTTTGTTGTTATTCGTCCCTCTGAGGTTCTGGCTTTAGGACTCCTTGTAGTATTTTTTGGAGTGGGGGTTTAGTCGCAATGAAATTCTGGAGTTTCTGTTTGTCTGGGAAGGTCCATATTCTTTCTTCAAAGAGGAAGGAGAGCTTTGCGGGATAGAGTATTCTTGGTTGGCATCTGTTTTCTTGGAGTCTGTTGACTATGTCCCTCCACTCTCTCCTTGCCCGTAGTGTTTCTTCAGAGAAGTCTGATGTCAGTCTGATTGGTTTCCCTTTGAATGTTATCTGTTTCTTCCCTCTTGTTAGTTTCATTATTTTTTCTTTGTCTTGGATTCTTGGGAGCTTTACTATTATGTGTCTTGCTGTATTTTTCCTTTCGTCATGGAAGTTTGGTGTTCTTCTTGCTTCTTGTATATCAATTTTCAGATCCTTCTTAGCGTTTGGGAAGTTCTCTTCAATTATATCCATGAATATTTTCTCTGTTCCTACATCTCTCTCCTCTCCTTCTGGGATTCCTATAACTCTTATATTTCCTTTCCTCATGGAGTCAGATAGTTCCCGAAGTCTTTCTTCGGTCTTTTTCCTTCGTACTTCTCCTTCCTTTTCTGTTTTAGTTCTTTTTATTTCTGTGTCTTCAAGAGTACTTATTCGTTCTTCCATTTCATCTATTCTGCTTTCACTGCTTTTCCCAGAGTTCTTTAGCGTCTCCATTAATTCTTTGATCTCCTGCATTTCTTTTACTTCCCTCTTTAGGGACTCAATTTCATTCTTCTGGTCATTAATTATTTTCCCCTTATCATTGTTTTCCTTTATGACTTCTGTCAGTTTTTTAATCACAGCAATTTTAAATTCTCTATCTGGAAGGCTCAGAAGTTCTTCCAAGTTACTGTCGTTGCAATCTGGTAGATGGTTTTCTTTTTGTGGTGTGCTATTTTGCTGAGGAGTTGCTGGGTTGCATGTTGTTTTTCTACTCCCTACTGCCTGTTTTCTAATTTGCCGTATTCCTTGTGACACTGTGTTGCTGGTACTGGCCGGCATCTTGGGCGACCTTCCCAGCTCACCACTGGCTCCTCTGAGGAACTTCTGCTGGGTTCACAAGTCTCCAGCAAAGACAGGTCCCTGCTCTGTCTCCTCGGTGAGCCTTCTGCTGGGTTCACACAGTTTCCAGCAAGAAGGGTCCCTGCTGCAAAATGCCAGAGCCGGGGACGCGCTCCCCTGCACGCCCGGTCTGCCCCAGCGGTGGGTGCTGCTCCCCTCTGGGCTGGAACTGCAGGCTAGAAGGTGCCCGGTGTGGGCAAGCCTCCCAGCTTAACCTCTGTCTAACATGGAGACCTTTTAAAAAGCAGATTGTGATGTCAATTCTGCTCGTCCTTTGACAACATTTTGAGAAGCAAGATTTCAAAGTACTGGAATATAACGTTCTTTCCCCTAAGCCACTTGAATTTGAAAGGAATTGTTAAATTATGCCTTTGCTATAGGTGATTTTTTTAAATCCTCATTTACAAACAAGGTAATTAGAACAACTATTATTTTTATATTACATTACAAAATATTATTATACAGCCATATGTAAAATTGAATGGATGCCTTACACTATGTTAAGAATAAATGTTATATGTAACATATAAAAATTGCATACATGAACATTTGTAATGAACAAACTTAATTTATAATTTGACATGTATAGGATTTCTCATACTAATAAATGTTTTGTTTCCAACAATAAAAATACAGTTCTATCTTAAGGAACTGAAATAAAAGTATGTACTTTCCTACTCATCAGTAAATATACTAACAAAATGTTCAGTAGCATTAACAAGAATGAATTTATGCCTTATGATGTGAACTTTACAAAGTAATTAATATGAACAAAGACATACATTTCATACTTCAGAAAAAATTATAAGTTAGTAAGTTAAAAATAATTACTCCATTTACTGAGCAGTTACATACTTTACAGATGTATTCTACAGCCTTCAAAAATATGAAGTAGGTATAATGCCCAATTTACAAATAAGGAAAATATATTATAAGTAAATAACTTGCCTAAAAGCCTGAGCTAGTAACATCTGAAATTTAAATCCAAAGTCTATATTCTGTTCTGCTTTTGTTAAAAAATAAAAAATACAATATATATCTATATAGTATGGGAAAAAATGTACATGGTTAAGGAAACAAATACTGTCTATATAGTCTGCCAGGGGATATTAAAAATTGTTGATTCAAATCAGGTAATTTTAAAGTTCGCTTAACCATTCTTCTACCTTATAATTCCATTAAGATTTAGAAAAAGTGAGTTCAGAAGATTATTTAGAGCAAGTGAATTATATATAATGTCCTAGTAAAATGTGGACAGAATTCATCATTGTCAAATTGCTTTGAATTCCCCACAACAACTGAATATATGATTTTACATTATGATACTTTATTGGATATTGTTAAAAACTTGGGATAGACAACTCAGAATTACATATAAAGGCTGAATTCTATATAATTTTCTCATAAGTATTACTATTAAAGAGTATCACTATTAAAGCCTTTATGGTGTTTATAATTTTTTTTTATTTATTTATTTATTTATTCATACAAGCACTGGGTACAGTCAGAAGCGCGGGAGGGTGAGAGAATTCACCAGAGTCAGAGCAGGATGCAGAACAGGCAGAAGGACCGAAGTACACTGCTGAGGGGAGCAGCGGGCAGCAGGAGAGGTCTGCGCGCCATGTGGGACCCTCCTCTGGTGGCCGGGGAGCAGCCGGGGATCGAACTGGCACTGCAGAGGCTGCGGGCAGCTTCGCAACCCCGCGCTCAACCGCTGCGCCACCGGGGAAGCCCTATGGTGTTTATAATTTTAAAATCTAATCTTAATCTACTGAATTTTGTGTTTCAACATTTGCATTTATCAGCAGAAAGAGTCATTTCAAATAAGATATTATAATTACTTTTTTTAATAAGATGAAGAGTATTTGTACTAAGGAAGTTGATTTACTGATAGAAAAATTAAGCATTTAGTTCTAATCGCAGGTGTAAAGTTTTGTGAATATGAATTTTTAAGCGGCTATACAGTCACTTGGGAGGTTCCTTGTGATCCTGCAGGGTCTTAAGCATGACTTTCTTGTGGCATTTATTCAGTACGATATTATAATTGTGTATTTATTCCCTTCTCCAAGTGTATCATGAGTTCCTTAAAGAATAATGTGTCTTAATTATGTGTACATCCATAGACTTTAATAGTGTCTGGAAATTAGTTGCAGTTAGATAAATGATGAATAATTAAAACATTTCAAAACTTCTATAGAAATAATGAACCTGAGCTCACTTCAGTATGTAGGGGGATTATAGATATTGCATATACATGGGAGGTGAATGTATCTCAGTAACATTTATGAAATATTATTAATCAAAGAACAGTTTGGAGAAATACGCAAAGTTAGAAAGTAGTTAACTATGCTTCAATAAAATAAATGCAAACACAAGGCCAGGTCTGTGTTCTGCTAACCACTAAGCATTTATATACTGCCACCTTGTGTCCAAAGCAATGTAACTGAGGAATTAGGAAAAGTTGCTGCTCTGCTTTCAGAAAAATCTGGGGATATAATTTCATTAAATCAAACAAGATATGCTGAGATACATGAATAGAAAAATCTTTATGGAAAAAGAACAGTCAGCAGTCTTCTGTAATAATTTTTGCATTTGATGCTAAAAATCAAAACACACATTTCTGGATGTGGGTTATAAGGTGTACACAAAATCCTTAACTACATCTCACATTATTTAGAACTTATTATGGTATAAAACAGCTAAGTTAAAATGTATGTCTGCTTCATAAACTTTAAAATTAATAAGAGAAATACACCTACGATGTATTCTGATTTTTAAGTTATTGGTCCAAAATTTGATCTGCCTACTAGTGTATTCCCCAAGTGTTTCTCAAAATGTGGTAGAGACCAGATGCTTTACCACTTGGGGGAATTTTAATTAAAAATTCCTTCCCTTATATCAGAATATCAGCAGAGGAGCCAAGTAACATTTATTTTAAAGATAATGATAACTTTCAGAAACACACACTTACAGCATAAACAGACTTAAGCATTGCATTTATTTATTTTATTAGGTGTCATATATGTGCTTTAGAAAAAACCTTAGAAATCAGAATTTTTCACTAGCCTATTCTAATTTGCTCTCAGAAGGAAGGGCGGCAGGTCAGCTGAATAAGAAAAACTTTTCTAGTTCTAAATTCTAAGATTTAAAAATTTTTGCTAAATCAAATAAGGGGGAAAAATCTGTGTTTTCAATTATTAACATTAAAAATTTATTTTCAGCTTAAGGGAAGTATTTTAAATTTTATACAAATAGAGCACAATCTTCTGGAAGGCTAATGTAGTAGGGAAACCCTTACTTTTACTTCATAAAATCAACTGAAACTAATACTCATGTCAAACACTAAACAATACAGATAAAAGCAAAAATATAAAAATAAAAGTCTCAACAACTTTTACCTTTACTCAAACCAAAAAAAAAAAGAATTGTTTTGGTGTATTCTAAGCCTAATTTAAGTGTTCACCAATAAAATACTTACCTTTTCTACTAGCGGTATTAACTGCTGGTGTTCTGCTAAAGTCTTTAGCAATTCCATAATGAAAGGGAGATAATTATGCTTCCTTCTTATATTTTCAATCTGAAAATAAAACAAGTACCAAACCACATTAACTTTATATCTCTACTAAGTTTATGATAGTTCAATTTTTGCATCCAACACAAATCTAAATAGTAGAAAATCCTCCATTTTCATTAAGAAAAAATATTAGAAATAGATTCTATTTCCACTAAGAAGAAAGACTAATACAATAAATCATGTGCCAAGAAAACCCTGGGCACGGCACCTAACTCTTGGCTTAGCAAATAACAGACACTTTTAAAAAATCTCATTGGAGATTCCTTATGAAAGTTCACTTATGGCAGCAAACTTAAGAGAAGGTCTGCATGATCAATTAATAATTTTACTACTACATCTAATACAAATAATCATGACAAGCCTAATGAGATCAGCTATGTTTTGTAACCATGAATAATCTTTCTTTGAATTATTTCTGATCAAGATTACAGGGAAAAATCTGCACGTCAGCGAAAAACTGTAGACAGCACACTCTCCCAAGTTGCATGATTCTAGACTTTCATTGCTTCTTCGCTATTAAATATTCTATCCCGTAAAATTTCAATTTACTACCCCTCTCCTATTAAAAAAAAGTTTCTACCTTTTGTAAATTCATTTCAACATTCTTTTAGTTCATATAAATTTGAACTTCTTTGACTTCACTGAACTAGTTGTGACAACCTATATGTTCCTTCAGTCAATTAATGAATTCAACAAAATCTTCAACACATGTTCATTTCATACCACTTATGAAAATCATTTAACTTTTTTTGAACAAAGGCATTCTCAAATAATGTAACAGGTAAGGATCCTAAAAACTCAGTGAGTACTTTATTCAGGCAAATATTTAAAATTAATTATGGAATAACCCCAAGTAAAAATGTATAAATAAAAGATTGACAGTTACTGCTTTACATCCCATGAACTGTAAGATAAACATTCAAGCTTTTATGGACACATCCTGTTTCTATAAATTCATCTCTACATTTTCCTGAATTCTCTGGCAGGAGTACCTACGACCAGCACCTGAAGAAATCCTACTAAACAAAAGTCCATTTATTTTATTTAACAGTCATTTATTACCTGTTAACTAATAGCTAACACTGTAATGAACAGCAACAAAAAAGCAATCTTTGTCTTCAACTGAAATTCAATGAATACAAATGTTTTTCTACTGTGACATACATGGAAAATGACATCAGTACTACAGAAAAAGTCATACAAAATTCAAATTTTCTTCCAACTTTCTGCTCTCTTTGAGAAATGTTTATCAAAAAAGATTACAAGAGATATAGGCCAGAAGGAGAAAGAAAAATATCACATGGTTTCACTTATAGGAGGAATGTAGGGAAACCAAATAAGGGACCAAGAAAAAAATAATTGTAATAAATTAAAAAACAAAATTAACAGGCAATTATTAATCAGAGACACTCTGCATGGAAAGCGGAGGGAGAGGGATCAAAGCAGGGGAGGGGATGTGTTCTTACACAAGGGACTATGGAGATGGTGCACGGGTGAATTGGTGGTGGGAATTTTGTGGGAACTATACCTGAGAGGAGAAAGCATGCATTGTACAAAAAGGGAGAATGATGTAAAATGTATATAAAATTAAATTAAATTATAAAAAAGGATTAAGAACAAAAAATATAAAGGCAATTAATAAAGAAAAAAAGATCGCAAGAGAAAGACATTACTTAAAAAACTGCTTTGGATTTCACTCTGAATTATAAAAATACTTGAATAATTAAATGAAACAAAAAAATTTAAGAAATAAATTATTTAAAAACTGGAAGACAAAATAAAATAAATGGTCCCAACTGTCTATCAAATTGGTGACACAACCACATGAAGATTTTTTTCAAGTATATTTAAAGGCTTAGTAATTTGGTTGTATATCCAAAGTGGGAAATAGCTTAAGAAAAAAACAAACTTAAGAAAAAATTTTTCAGTTTTTATTAAAACTACTAGTGTATAGATATATGTGTGTATATATACATTCACAATCACTCCATGTATGTGTATACACACACATATATATATGTATACCTATATATGTATTGTGTGTTTGCACTATACTTATGTAACATGAAGCAAGTAATTATATTAATGTTGTCAGCAACCAAGATTTTCACCTGAAAAGACAAATTCATATCTTCAAGTATAAAACCCTTTAATCCCAAACTTGAGCATTAATATGAGTTCACATTGTATTTTCCCTTAAAAATAAAACAAAAATATATTTCTTAGCTCTGAAAAGGCCTAGAAATAGGTATCAATCAGTAACATTGGCACCCTGAGCACCCATATAGTAGTTTCTAAATAACAATCCCCAGAGTCTTCTGGAAAAACTAACTGACTTCCAAGTTCAGAAATGGGAAATATACAAGGTGAGTCTGGAACATCTTGTCATACTGGAAAGCAAGAAATCTTATCAAAGATGAAGAGGATCATATCAAAAGGGCTTAGGATACAGCCTGAAGCGCCTCCTAATGGTCAAAGGTAAGGTAAGCTGAGCATTAACAAAACCTACAATAAACTGAAGCACCAAATAGGTTAAAAACTTGGCAGCAGCTCTGCTGCCACCTGTGACAGAAGGAAAAAGAAATATATATATATATATATTTTCAGGTGTTTCTCTTTGCCAACCTTCTCCCTTTGCAAAGCAGCAGAGGCAGCTGTCCCTGTAATGCTGCCCACTTTTTAGCAAACTATGCGGACCGCTCTTTAAGCAAACCTGTCCCTTTCAGGGGCAGCTCTTTCTTCTGACTTGTGTCTACACAAGCATCCTTTACTTCCCTTTAATTTTTGTAATAAGCCTGCCCTCTTGAATTAAAAAAAAAAATCTGCTCACATTAAATACTTAAAAAAAAAAAACAAGGGTGAATCAACTCATTATTCTAAAAATTAGTAAATGATGGGGAAAAAACAATCAAGTATTCAATATATATTCACATCAAAAATACACCACTCTATATTAAAACATTGAAATCATAAGTTTTAAAAACATACCTTATATCTTTTTAATTTTTGTACTTCTTCTTCAATAAGCATCTGATTTTTGGCAACCTCTGACTGAATGGCACTTAACATATTATTACCCTGATCTGTATCCATGGGTTCCTCCTTGGGGGAAAGAAAAAGAAAGTGCACCCTAATGATTGAGGCTTAAGTCCAGAATATTTTAAAATGATAAGCATATTACAATTATTTTCAAATTTTACTCTTACTATTGGTGACAGAATACTGGCCTGATAACTGCATTATTAAAAGAGCCTTAAGTAGGACCTTTCATATATCTGTGTTCTATAAAAATATATATGAATTTTCACCTAAAAACAATCTATACTGTATTATACTGCTTTACTATGAGCTCTTATTCAGCTATAAAATATACTCATTCAGCTTATATATACTCTTTAGTAAATGTGATCAAGGAATATTAAAAAGGTATTTCTATTTAATCTTCTCCAATTATATTTACTACAGAAAGATAATCAACCATAAAGCCTATAAAAATTACATATGACCCTAAATATGCCCAATTCATTCTGTGAGAAATATATTCTAACTTGTTAACTATATAATAATTTTTAATAGTTAACTGCTAGCACATTTTTAGCACAAACTGTCACTGTTTTAAGTGGTTTGCACATATAATTTCACTTAATCCTCACAACCACTTTATAAGGCAAATACTATTATCTTCATTTTTGCATGAAAAAACTAAGCAACAAAGAAATAAGGCCAAATTTATATATCCACTAAACAGCAAACCTAGAAGCTTAATCTAGGCAACCGGAATCCAGAGTATAGTCTCTTAAACATCACTCAGGACACCTGATTAAATGTGCATTTTTTTAAAAATAGAAGGGAGGGAGAGAGGGAAGAAAAGAGGGAGGGAGTAAGAAAGGGAGGGAAGGGGGGGGGAGAGAAATATGCTCCCTAAGAGAATAACTAAGTTACAACTTTGTACATAAAAACACAGAGACAAACCTCTGCAAGTTGTCTTTGTAACTCTGCTATCTTCTGCTCATATATCATTTTTCTGTCGGACACAATAGCCATTAAATTAAATCGAATTTCACCTTCACTGTACCTAAAAACAAAAGTTATTTTAAAGTTTATTTAAACAAAAAAAGAATTGTAAAAAAGAATTGTAATACTATTACAACTAATAAAATAACAAAGTGTGTTTATCTCATGATTCTCTGGTGTTGGCTAACATAAAAGCTGACATTTTATAAAACCTTTATAGGTGAAAGATAGAGTATAACTACAGCTACAAAAAACTGATTACAGTTCATTAACCAAAAAATGTATTTTTTATTCTAAAAGAGCGCTATACCTCCTAAGCATCTGAAATAAAAAATATTTTCATCAATTCTCTCATTTTCACAAGAAAGACAGCAAATGCCATTTACTTAATATCTCTGAAAAATAAGACATCATATTTGTTGGATTAATTATACTGGCATTTTGATGGCAATTAAGTATATTTCTTACCTTACACTTTTTGTCAAGATCTAGTTCCTAATTTTAATATACATTTCTAAATTTTACTTACAGTTATTATAAATATATAAAATACTTACATAATATTTTATTAATATGTGATTATTAGTAGTAATTATGATAAGTGAGTGAATAACTTACAGGAAAAAAGAAACAAAAAACAGAACAAAGAGAAACAAATTAAATGGCAGACAAACTATAACATATCAATAATCATGTTAGATGTACATTTATTACACTTGATGTAAATGGTCTAAACATGCCAAATAAAAGAGAGACAGGAGTGAACTAAAAGACATGACCATATATGGTGCCTACAAGAAGCTCATTTCAGGGCCTCCCTGGTGGTGCAGCAGGTTGAACACAGCGCTGTGAAACTGTCCATAGCCTCTGCAGCACTGGTTCGATCCCCAGCCAGCCAGGGGGCTACCCACATGGCATGGCAGACCTCTCCTTTCTTGCCCCCTGCTTCCCTCAGCAGTGTACCTGTCTGTTTACCTGTTCTGCTCCCCACTCTGTCTCTGGTGAATTCTCTTACCCTCCCGCACCTCTGGCCTGTAGCCCAGCTATTGTATAAATAAAATGAATCTTTAAAAAAAAGCTCACTTCAAATAAAATGACATAGGCAGGTTGAAAGTAAAAGGAAGGAAAATATATATCATGTATAGAACAAAGAAAGCAGCTGTGGCTATTTTAACTATAATATAAACATAGCAAAGAAAATCACCAGAGGAACATTACACAGTGATTAAAAAAAAAAAAAGCAGAAATAGAAATCATAAATGTTTATGCACCTAAGAAAAGAGCTGCAAAACATGTAAAGCAAAAACTGATGCACTGGAATTAGAAATAGACAAATTCAAAACTGTGAAAATGACATGATTATCTACGTTGAAAATACCAAGGAATTAACGAAAATCTTCTAAAGCTGGTAGGTGAGTTCAGCAAGAAGAAAGGATGTATGATAAAGAAGTGAAAAAATCAACTATCTTTCTAACAGCAATGCTCAAATGGGAAATCAAAAATACAGTATCATTTGTAATTACCAAAAGGGGTATGACATGCTTGTGTGTAAATCTTCACAGAGACACACTGTGTTCATGGATTGGAAGACTCTATAATTAAGACACCAATTCTTCTCAAGTTGATAGATGTGACATAATTCCTACCAAAATCTCACAAATATTTGTGGAGATATAGGTAGGATTATTACTAAAATTTATATGGGAAGGCAGAGGAACTATAGTAGCTGAAACAATTTTGAAGAAAATGAAAATGGGAATGATCAGTCTACCTGATATCAAGCCTGATAGCTACAATAATCAACATTGTAGCATTGACAAAGGGGAGACAAAGAGATCAGAGAAATAAAATTATGAGGTCAGAATAAACCTTCACAACTAGCTTTTTACAAAAGTACAAAAGTAATTTAATAGAGAAAGGACAGTCTTTTCAACAAATGGTGCTAAAGCAGACATAGATAGTCAAAAAAACGCTTAAATTCACAAGAACTAATTCAAAATAAATCACAGACTTAAATATAAAATATTAAATTATAAATCTTCTAAGAAAAAGGCAGGAGAAAATCTTTGTGATCTAAGACGAGGCAAAAATAATGCTTAGATTTAACAACAAAAACACCATTTACAGTAACAGAGATATATTGGACTTCACTGGGATTAAGAGCTTTTGATCCTTGGAAGACCAAGTTGGAAAGGTGCGACAGATAGAAAAATATTTGCAGGTTACATACCTTATAAAATACTAGAAGAATTTAGAGTATGTAAAGAACCTCAGGGCTCAACAGTAAAAAACAAACAATCCAGTTACAAAATAGATAAAAAGCATGGAAATATTTTCAGTATTGTTAGATGTTAAAGAAATGCAAATCAAAACTACAATGAAATCACTATACACCTATCAGAATAACTAAAATAAAAACTATGACCAAAACAAAAGCTAACAGGGACATGGAGAAAATAAATCACTCATTGCTAGTTGGGATATAAAATGATACAGCTATTCTGGAATACAGCCTGGCAGGTTCTTAAAAAAGTAAACATGCATTTACCATGCAACCCTGCAATGCACTTCCGGGCATTTATCCCAAAGAAATACAAACTTATTTTCACACAAATGGTTACTGCAGCTTTATTCAAAACAGCCAAAACAATCCAGATGTCTTTCAAGAGGTGAATGGGCAAAAAATAGTCTGTCCATAACATGGGATACTACACATCAATAATATAAAAGAATGAACTACATATATACTTAAAAATCTGGATGAATAGCCAGAGAAGTATGCTGCGTGAAAAAAGCCAATCCAAAAAGGTTACATGTAGTATGATTCTATTTCTATTCTATTTATATATATAAAACAGTCTTTAAATGACAAAAATTATAGTTAGGGATTCACGATGACAAGGTGCGGGGAGAGGAGATGGTAGCAGGGATGGAAATGGTTGTGCCTATAAAAGAGCAACACAGGACTGAGGTGATTGAGTTATTCTGTATCTTGACTGTATCAATGTCAATATACTAGATGTGATATTGCATTACAGGTTTGCAAGATGTTACCATTGCAGGGTAAACGATCCACAGATCTCTCTATTATTTCTTACAACGAAATGTGAATATGTAATTAACTGAATATAAATATTATAATTTAATTAAAAAACTGCCTGCTCAAAACCAAAACATAACTCTGCAAAGCAGTAGGACAAAATATCTAACTTCATGGAGATCTGTATGTTCAATTTCGTTAAAGACAAGTAGTCATATTAAGATGTAAAATTTATAGAGATTTTCTAAAATAGACTCCCTCACCCCCAATGCATTAATCTAATCACTGCTATATGTTCACTAAGCATTGCTAAAACAATGTAAAAAGTTTTTAAAGATGTTTTAATAAAAACCAGGATGTTATGTCAATGACATCAGCTGAGTATTTACTTTTGTATCCTTTTTTCTATGACTGGCCTCACCGCGCTGATCCAGTCATCTTGATTGCATGCACCTAGAAAGAAATTTTCAAATATTTAAATAAAGTAAAATATACATTACTTCAAAAGTCTGGTCCAAAAATACCTGAATTTGGCAAATGCAGGACAATAAAAATTCTTTTAGCATAACTATGTTAAGCCCTAATTCCTCAATTTCTTAGTAAATGGTAAGGGAAAAGCATTATCATAATTTTCACTGCCACATTATTGCGGTGCTTAGTAACAGATGCTGCACAACTATTTTAGTAATGAATTAGCAAGGTATCTCATTAAAATTCACAGATCTGTAAGATAAGGAGCACTATCTTAATTTTACAGATGATGAAACTGAGGGCTAAGAAAAACTAACTGACATGTTAGTGCCAAAATAAGGATTCAACCGTTATCTGACTCCCCAAAATCAAAACTGTAAAATAAAAAACTAAAAGCTACACATAATACAAAACACCTTAATACAACTGCTTTAATCCTCTCTTTTCAGTGTAAGTTTTAGCATAGCCTCCCGTTAACACAATACAACTGGCTACTCATTTTATCCTTTACTTCCTTTATAGCTGAAGGTTCTAATAAATAAGGATGGCTGCCAGAGAGAAAGCAAGAGAGAAAGTGCAGAAATCAGATCAACCACCAAAATAAAGAAAATCAAATTCTAAGGAGTTAAGAATATAGTCTATAAATTTTCTGTAACAACACAGAAAAATATTTTTTAAGTATAGAGACAGTATGTAAATCTCCATGAAGATAAACTACTGATTGTAAATATGGGGCATGGTCAAAAGAGCACAAGAAATATACAACTATATTAAACTTTTTAAACCTAAAAGTATAAAGTTTTTAAGAACAGCAGGTAACATTAGATTCAATTAAAACAGCTTTAGTTGGGCTAAAAACAAAAACATAATGAGATTAAAAACAAGGAATTAAATTTCTTTTGTTAGTCTATGATTTCAGTACTAAAGCAGAACTACCAGTTATAGCCTCAGCCTGATAACCATTTATCCTTTTTGCTCAATGTTACTGGAGACAGATAGGCTCAGAACGAATCTATCCTTTGGCACAAAGGACAGCTTGTTTAAATAAAAACATTTCTGTAGATTCTCATAAACACCAAATTAAAGTGATTCTAAATGATTCAATTCTAAATGAAAATATCTTAATATAAGATGATAAAAAATAGATTATCAATAGATTAAAGATGACAAGGTAGTAACTTCATTAAAATAAATAGTTTTTAAAGGTTAACTGGAAAACAGAAAATAAATTATGCAATCTATAGATTAAAAAATTTCACTGAGAAAAAAATTGAAGACCTCAACCAAAAAAAGCAGTCAACATGTTCTTCCTGTATATTATTTAATTATATTATTATTATTATCCTATATGTTAATTATTTACCAAGTACTGAAGCTTAAGGCTTTCATAACAGTATATTACCTTTGGCACTTTCCACTTCACAATATAAGCAGCACATAGCTACAACAAAGGAGAATACTAGACCTTTTCTTCCATGACAAAAGTGAAATACAAGAAACAGGAACTGGATTACCTAAATCAATCGGTCCTTCTCTTAATCCATCTAATTCATACAGTCTTCCATTAACAGGAACATAACTGACAAAGTGAAAAGCATCTTCTTCTTTTGCTGCTGTCTTTGCATCAAATTCAAACATTTGTTGTCTACAGAGATGGAAAAACAAAATGAGAAACAAACAAGCAAAGAAAGAGACAGTATTTGTTTAACAGAGTCTTCTTTACCTGGCGAAACTGTTGTGCACTTGTCGAATCACATCTGAATTGCTCAGTGCCAAACCTTTCATCTAAAATAATTTTAAAAGTAACCTATTAAAACAAGAACTACTACATATAAGGCATTTTAGGAATAATGAGACTGTACTCACAGCTGCATCGAAACTTTGTGAAAATTCTTTAAATTCTGATAACGTCTCTCCTAAATGGACATCTTGATGGGTACAGTTCAACAACACACTTACTATGGCTTGAGTAGCACAAGCATTATTAATTACCTATAAAATATAAAAGCAAAGTTGTACATTATCAATTTGGTTTTTTAAAAAGCACTTTCAACTGGTAACAATGACTGACAAAATATATGAATACAGTCAATAGTTCTCACTGTATTTCACATAGTCTAAGCATAAAAATAATAAACATTTAAATTTCCATTCTAATCTATTTTGAGAAATTTGCTACTATTCTGGAGAAAAATTTTCAATTGTGTTTCCTTTTTAATTCTTACACTCCTCTACTTTTCTTTGAGGTCTTGTGACTATCCACCAATTCTTACACTTTAAACTGCAATATGTAGAAAAATTTTTTGGTAAGACTGCTTTCTACATGAGGAAATATTCTATTACTCCCAACTACCAAACAAATACAAGAATATCACCACGTTTCCGCAATTTCTTTCTTTACAGTACTTTGTACTCAACACTGTCTTATAATTGATAAATCACTGAAAAGTAGCAGATCTGTAATTCACTTGACATTGCTGTTGATCTCTTTTAATATGTACTTTGACCTGAATCACAGTTCTTTCAGTAAATTTCGATGAAAAGTGGTAATGACTAAAGGAGACTTCATAAAAAGGTAGTTAAAACGTTTCAAGACCTGGTACTTCTGTATCTTGGGCCAAAGTTATCTGGGGTGAAATCATCTGGGATGGGTTGGAAGAAGTCAGAAGAAGTTAAAATTTATACTCATTCACATATTCTTTCAAAAATCATGACATGACATTGACGACACAGTATGTACCCAATGCTAGGCTAGATGCTCAGGTAACAGCAGAGAATACTACCAAACATTCTAATGACTTAAAATCCATATCCATAAGTTTAGGGATTTTTAAAAAATTAAAAAAAAAATCCAAACTTATCAAAATTGTATACATTGAATATAAAGTTTTTGTACGTTAATTATATTTCAATAAAGCTGTTTTATTGAAAAGGGGGAAGGAAATCCGGTGGCTGATATTTCTTTCAATATTAATGATTTACAGCTCATTTTGTGTGAAGAATACTATTACTGTATGCATGGGTATAAAATGATCTCTTCAAGTTTTAGAGTGAATTTAGCACCACCAAGTGGTTATGTGCTATAAAGTAAGGATTTATCCCCTCCCCCAAAAAAAGACCTTCAAAAGGTCTCTCAAATATTTACTAAGCACCTACTGTGTACAAGAAACAGAGATGTAGTCCTTGTACACATGAAACTCATAAAATCACCTCCTATATGTCTATTTAGGAGAGCTTTAACTGTAGCTCACATGAGCAAAAATAATTCCAATACAAATTATTTATGCAGTCCCAATTTTTTTAATTTTTACTTTATCCCTTGTGTTCCACTGGCTGTTAACACATGTTTAAATAAAGCAAGAGTTTAACGAACACATGAGGCTGAAGCAGGTGGTCAAAAGTAAGGCTAGACCAGATCCTGAAGAATTAGTTTGAGCACATATATTCTTTAGTTCATCCAGTTCACATTCAACTCACATATTCATGTTGCTAACCCGATCCTGCAGTCATGTGGCTTTGCAAGCCCTCTAATACAGAATAACTTCTTTTCATACCTTATACAAAAGAATATGATAGATGTAGTGTATGTCAGCAGATCTGCTGTGTATTTCAGTAGATCAGGATTCACTTTCTCTGGTGAATCCTCTCAACCCCGCACCTCTGGCCTACACCCTGGCTCTTGTATGCATAAATCAATCAATCGTTAAAAAAAAAGTCAGGAAGATGGAGTCTGAGGCACAAGACAGAGTCAGTTCAGTCTGCCAGAACGTCCCTTTTCATAGAAGCTTTATGAATTTTTGTCGAAAATCTGTGAATTTTGCATTATATTCATCTCTGTTTTGTTTTACGGTACTACTTCATGTCAACCAATGTTCTAAGCACCGAAAATCAACAAGGTTCCTGCCCATAAGAGAGAATGTTAGTGGGCAGAATCAGGGGCAACCTTGGGACCCCCGAAACCTGCCTGCTCTAAATGAGTTCTGTCATCTGCTGCATAGGCACACTCTGGTGCATAAGACCTTCAATGGAAAGGGGCTTTAATACAATTAGTGTGCGATAGAGAAAGAGAAAGAATATAGTTAAGGGCCTCTCTGGTGGCACAAAGTGTCTATGACGCTATCTGTAGCCACTGCAGCATGAATTCCATCCCTGGCCAGGGAGTTAACTCACAAGGTGCAGCAGTGCTCTCCTGTCTTGCCAGCTGCTCCCCCAGTAGTGTATTTCAGTGTTCTGCTCCACACTGTGTCTCTGGTGAATCCTCTCACCACCCCACCCTGCCCGCCCTGCACCTCTGGCCTACACCCCCACTCTTGTATGCATAAATAAATAAAATAAATCTTAAAAATAAAATCACATGATATACCAAAACCCAACTCCTAATGAATTGTGGACACAGGTGTTAAAAATAAAAATGTGGGCCTCCCTGGTGGCACAGGCGGTTGAGCACAGGGCTGTGAAGCTGTCCGCAGCCTCTGCAGTGCTGGTTCGATCCCGGCCGGCCAGAAGGATACCTACATGGCGCAGCAGACCTCTCCTGTCTCACCGCTGCTCCCCTCAGCAGTGTATTTCTGTCAGTCTGCCTGTTCTGTTCCCTGCCCTGTCTCTGGTAAATCCTCTCACCCTCCCACACATCTGGCCTGTACCCCGGTTCTTGTACACATGAATAAAATCTTTTCAAAGGGCCTCCCCGTGGTGCAGCGGTTGTGCACTAGGCTGCGAAGCTGCCTGTGGCCTCTGCAGTGCCGGTTCGATCCCCGGCCGCCGGCGTGGGTCCCACATGGCACGCAGACCTCTCCTGCCGTGCACACTGCTCCCCTCAGTAGTGTGCTTCATCAGTCTGCCTGTTCTGTTCCCCGCTCTGGCTCTGGTGAATTCTCTCACCCTCCCATGCTTCTGACTACACCCAGTGCTTATATAAATAATTTTTAAAAATTTATAAAAAAATAAAAATAATAATCTTAAAAAAGAATAAATTTTTAAAAAATAAATAAAAATGTAAATATCTTTTACAACTTTAGATAGATAATGACTTCTTAAACCAGATACAAAAAACACTGATTCTCTATTCATTAAAAGATACCCAAGAAAGGTAAAACAATTGGGTGTCAACTTATTACTGCAAGAATATACAGACAACTTGTACAAATTAAAAAGTAAAGCACAATTAAGCCCAGACGAAAAATAAACAGGAAATTCACAGAGAAAATACATATGGTCACTAAGCACATAAAAACCCTTTCAAAATGGACAGTGATCAAGGAGATGTAAGACCTCAATTGAGTGCCACTTTACAGCCAGTTGGCTGGCAAAAAATAAAGCAGGTCACTGTTACAGGTTGGAGTATGTGGTTACACAGTGACTTCAGAAAACATTTGGTATTTCCTCCTAAAGTCACACATTTTCCTATCAGATGAGATAGTCCTACTTTCAGGTACATGCCAGGAGAAATTTGCCTGTACTACAGGAGATATCTGTGAAAACGTTTATAGCTGCACAATTAATAGTAACTCAAATAGAAAACCCAGATCAAATCTACAAAGGGTATAAATAAACCACAGTATATTCATGTAATTGATATACGACATGCAAAATATATGAACTACCTAATAAACTTATTGATGAATTTTCATAATATAACATTGTCTAAAAAGTCCCCCCAAACTACATAGAATATGACACTTCTTGTCAAGCTAAAAATTTTATATATATACACCTCTTTAGGATTATAAAAATATATAAAAAGTAAAGCAAAGTAATGATATATAGATTTTAACAAGAAGGTTATATTGGGTGAAAAGAGTAAGGATGAGTTACACTATTATACATTGAGTAAGAGAGAAGGAAATAACAGATAAAGTTTATTTAGGTGGTGATGGATGGGTGCTTCCTACAACTAAAATAATCAAATAAATAAAAGGAGGCAACAAGTGTGTGTCATCAATCAAGAATTATCTTAATTGATTGATATATCTTCCTCCTTCATTCCCACAACCAGTCCATTACACATTGAAGGCGCTAATTACTTTAAGTATTATTCAAATCTGTTCACATCCCTACTACCAGTCTTTTTTGTCTAATCTTCAAATTACTTCGTAAATGCCTCCTAAATGATATCCAGTCTTACATCCTATACCACTCTCTACTCTTCAAATGCATTCCTCACACTGTAACCAAAGCAGTCTCTTCTAAATAAAAATCTGATCACTTTACTTCTTAAAACATCTCAAAAACATTCTACTAACCCACCAACTGATACAAAGTCTCAATCATGGCTTAAAATACCCTGCATGACCTGATCTCTGCACTGGTGGCAGGAGTTGACAGTGGTTCTCCATATCCATCTTTTTCTTCTCCAACAGGGTTAGAGTACCTACATTTTATCTGGGTCCACAGCCATACGAAATGAAGATAACTTTCCCAGCCTCCTTTGCTGCTAAGTACAGTCATGTGACTGAGTTCTGGACAAAAAGCAGAATACATGTAACAAGGGCAAATTGTAGAAAATGTCCACCAAGGGACATTTTAGCAGAGTGTGCTGTCCCCTTCCTACTGTCTAGATTGTGAAACTGAGATCGAATAGCTGAAATTTCAATCCTCTCCCTGGATATGCAGTAATCTTTGGACTAGAAGCCACACACAAAGAAAGAAAGATCCTGCAATCTACTAGAGGGGGAAAAGGAAGGGAGGGAACACAGCAGTCTGAGATGAAGGGCTATGGGTGTGTGGAAGGCGAGGGTGTAATACGTACCTAAGGAGGAGAGCACCTACTCCCCTAGATCGTATACAGGGCTGTAAACCAATGCTACCTCAACAAGGAAAAACAAAATATCATTCCTGGATCCTTATACACAAATTCTAACCACCAGGAAACAATTTATTTTCTCCATATTGAATTAACAATGATATACACATACACACATAGCCCTCCAATTAAAGCCTATAATTAGCATTAAGTCATTATTACCTCTCTAAACTGGTACAATTCCAATCACCAATACCCAAACTATGTATTCAGTTAATATAGTTAATACAAATGACCTTTTCACAAATAAATTATTTCAACTAAATTTTTTAAATTTCTGAAAATACTCCTAAGAGCCCAGGTACCCTGGATTGGAAATCATTACTATAATCTCGTGAAGTCTAGAACATAACAATTAAATATTTATGTTAATAGATACTATGTTTTAGCATAGGTTTATAAGAAGCATATTATGAAAAAGACTAATAGGTGTTATTGGGTAATTACTGATCTTTGAGTTTAATAAAAACTTATGGCATAACATAATAAAAAAAATCAGGAAATCGCTAATCCAAAATATAAATAAACATGGCTAGAATAATATAATACAAATAAAATATCAAATAACACTAAGATAAAAATGTAACATAGAACTAAAAAAATATCAAGGAACTCCAGAAATTATAAACTCAGACTCAATTTTACATAATGACTTCTGAGTTCATAACTTAGTGCAGAAAAAATATATTTATTACATACAAACACACAGAAAAAAATCTGGAAGACTATACATTGCTTTCAGGGTTATGTCTAAGGCTAAGATTATATGGAATTTTTTTTCTACAACATATATAATGTTTAAATCATATACAATGAATATATGTTCTTATATATATTTAAAAAGTAAATAACTTTCCTTAAGACAAGAAAAATCACCTGAATGACTTTTAAAACTACCCATCCTCTACTTTCACTAAACTATCTACATCTTGAAAATCACAAGTAAGTATAGCTCTAAAATAATTACTGTAATACAGTGATACCCAAACAGCACACAAACACTAAAATATAGATATATTTGTGTTAGAGAAATAGAGATTTAAAGTGTTGATCGTTAAGAGATTATTTTTAAAAATTATAGGACATTTATATCAAGAATGCTTTTAAAAGAGCCAGTTTTGCCATGGGATTAAGAGTTTGGACATCAGGACCACAGGTTCTGGGTTTGCACCCCAGCTGTTTCCACATCTGTGAAATGATGATGAACCTGTAAAGCCACATCAGGTTGTTGTGAGGATCAATTACTACAAATAAATTACTAATAAAAAATAATACATACAAAAGTATCTGTCATTTGTACACTGTTATGTGTACTGAAATGGAACAAAGCTAAACCTTTATTATTAAATGAAAAAATATGACACTTAACATAACAATAAAACTTTAGTAAAAAGCCAAGTATGTGAATATGTGTGCATATGAACAGAAAATGGAAGATAGTATATAGCATATCACATCACAAATCTGTTTCTCGATCACGGATTAAATTCTGGATCTACCACTCTGTTGACCTCAGGCAAATAAGTTGATTTTGCTAGGCTTCAATTTCTTCATCTGTGAAATGAGGAAACTATTCATAAAGTAGTTTCAAGGATTAAATAAAACATATCTAAAGCACAAAATTTGGCTCACAATAGAATGGTAAATGTTGGCTACTGTTGGTGTTATCATTATAGCTGTTATTACGAAGAAGAGATGCTTTTTTATCCACAGTATCTAAAACAAGGCTGGCACATAGTAGGTGCTCAATAACTACATATTAAGTGAATAAGTCTAATTGTTAAAAGAGGTGAGTAGTGGGTGTAGGATTACAAAGATATTCCCTTTTATTACTGTATATTTCCGTAGTTTAAGTTTTGCTATAAGAAAAAAAAAAAAACAAAACCACAGAGTGATTAAATCATGTTTTCTTAACTCCTACAGTAAAAGCAAGAAAGTTTTAAATTTTTCTAAAAACATTCCACTTTTAACAGTTGAGGAAATGGAATAAAGTAATATGAAAAAAAGGGAAAATAACTTACTAAGTGGAATAGTAAAGGCTTGATCTAAAGGGCAGTATGAGAATTAGTGTTTTTATTTTTCCACCTTCCCAAAGGTTAAACAGATATCCTAAGCAATTTTTTTGAGTCTCAGAAGTAGGTCCAATTTTCAAACAAATGTAATCACAATTGGCTTAAACATTGATCAAACCTCTTTTATCATTCTCCTTTTCAACTTTTCCAAACAATGGACCATACATCTGGAGGCATGTAATAATGTTAAACATCTCCCTGTATACACTAGAACAGTAATTCTCAAAGTATGGTCCATGAATTCCCTTGGAATCCCTAAGACCTTTTTCAAGGAGTTTGTGAGCTCAAAATTATTTCCATACAATGGAAGGGGAGATCCTACACTCCTACTATGGAAACAAGGATGTAAACTAATATTAACCCAATAAAAAAATCTTTTGAAAAAATTGTTTTCATAATAACTCTAAGACAGTTTTGGTGTTTTCCCAGAATTTCACATTCACCCTGACAGTACAATAGCAATTGTGGATATGAATCTAGGTCATGTCATTAAACCATTTCACTGAGACATATACATAGCTACAAAACTAGCAAAACGAAAAGGCAGATTTAATGAAGAATACCTTTGCAGCATCAGTAGTTATTTTTATAAAATTTCAACCTCAGAATACAAGTCTTCAATATTTTGTTGAATGAAATAGGCCATGCCAATAAAACACTTCTTTTACAAATCAAATGTGCAGCCATTTCGAGGAAAAGCACTAAGTACAATTGAGCTGTGAGGTAGATTGGCTATTCATTTCTTAAAACATTTTTACTTGAAAGAATAAGTGACAAATACAGTTCTTCACACAGAGAATTTGGCAAATATTTTCTTGAAAATTAGTGAAATGAGTCTAACACTTCTAGGGAAACACCTGATAGCATTTGTTATTCTTGATAAAATTTAAACTTTCAAGTAAATATTAGAATTCTGGAAGATGTAGACCCATTACTGTAACTTTAAAAGTTACATGAAATTTAACAACTTTTCTGATGATATAGATGGTGATTCAAGTAACAAATGTAACTTGCTGATTATACATATAATCAAATATGTTAGCACTTAAAAGATCTACATAATTTGGTGACATTTCCAAATAACCAACACAGGATGTTATCAGATCCTATATGAATGAAACATCCATTCAAAGAGTAAGATAAACTGAGGAATTTCAATATAAGAGTACAAAATTCATGGAGATGGTTTCAGATTTCACAGCAACATTTGTGAAGTTTTGATATGTCATCAGAGAATATTCATAATTCTCTGAAAAAAACATTAAAATACTCCTTCCTTTCCAATTACACATGTAATAGTGACAATTGCGCAGAGCTACAGACAACTGTTTTTCATATATGTCAATCAAAGCAAAAACACTGCAAAAGACTGAATTAAAAAAGCAGACAGAAGAATGCAGCTGTGTGCTATGAAGCCAGACATTAGAGACTTGCAAAATGTAATGCAATGCAGTCCTCTCACTATTTTAATTTTAATAAAAATAAAGATGTTATATTTTACTAAAGATGTTGTGTTCACATGTAATGAATTTGTTATTTTTAAATCAACTAATTTTTATAAGCATCTCAGTTTTAATGTATAATAGGATAAATACTGATAGATATAATATATAAACAAAATCCCTTTGGGAAGCCTAATAACTTTTAAGAATATAAAGGTGTCATAAGAACAGAAATTTTGAGGTGTGCTCCACTCGTGACATAGAGCAGAACAGACGGTTAAAAGCATTGCCATTGAGACTCAAATTATTTAAGAACATACCTGCTTGGCAAAAAATATTGTGTCAAGTCTGGAGTCCTGAACCACAGAACCTGCTGGTTCTTCTCCTGGCTGCCACTTGAAAAGAAAAATTAGCCCATGAACTGGCCTACAAAATAAAATACAAATAGTGACATCAAGCCCTGCTTTTTCTATGACATTTTTTCAATAACATTAAATTTTAGTCAGCTTAACAAACACAATGCAAATGAAGTAAATTTGAGAGATTTTAAAAATGTTTGTATTATTCAGAAGATACTTTCTCTTTGGCAAAAACTAAGATGCATTACCTGTGAAACAGGCAACTTCTGTCAATCAATCAGATTGATAGATAGATACATGGATAGATAGATAGATAGATAGATAGATAGATAGATAGATAGATAGAGCTATTTCTATGCTATTCAAAGTCACTAGAATATTGCCTAAGACAAGGAAAATAAAATGTAAAAATTCCATCAGCTAAAAATGAATTATAATGGTTTGTTCTCAAATCTGTGGAATATTCATTTCTACCTTATTTTACCTTATTTACAAATAGAAAATACAAATATTGCAAAAACAGAAGGTGTTAACCCTAAACTGAATTTCAATATATATGAATAAATTTCAAGTAGAATATTTATAGATAAATGACAGTATACATAGCATGAAATACAGGAAGTCTTCTTCATGTCACTACAAAATTCACAAACAATTCTCAAACTACATCTTGTCATATACAATGAAGTCATCCACCTTCCTATAGGAACTGTTCTGCCCATGAAACATTAAAAACATACCATGGAATATTACTCAGCATTCAAAAAAGATAAACACATGCAATTTGCAGCAACATGGATGGCGCTGGAAGGGATCATGCTCAGCGAAATAAGCCAAAAAGAAAAAGAAAAATACCGGATGGTCTCACTCATAGCAGGAATCTAGAAAACTTAAATAAGGGATCAGGAAAATGAATAACTATAAGAAAGTGAAAATCAAAATCAACAAAAAACTATGAACCAGAGACACTTTTTGGGGGGTGGGGGCCGGGAGGGGAGGGATTGGGGTCAGAATGGGGCATGTGCAGTTGTATGGGGGAATATAAAAATAAAATTTATTATTTAAAAAAAAATAATAAAAAAAAATAAAATGCACATCGGATCTCATTGAATGACTGTTGGCTAATACTGAGAAAAGCAGATTGTGGTTGTGACTCCAAATTTTGAAGCAACCACAAATATCCATGTATTTTTCCAATGTTTGTGAAAACCACCCTGGGATATGATATAATTTTTTTAAAGATTTATTTATTTATGAATACAAGAGCTGGGGTTCAGGCCAGAGAGGGGAGGGGAAGAGGATTCACCAGAGACAGAGTAGGGAGCAGAACAGGCAGACGGACTGAAATACACTGCTGAGGGGAGCAGCGGGTGAGACAGGAGAGGTCTGCTGTGCCATGTGGGTTGCTCCCTGGCCAGCCGGGCATCAAACTCATGCTACTGAGGCTGCTGATTGCTTCATAGTGCAGTGCTTAACCCCTTGCGACACTAGGGAGGCCCTATGATATAATTTTGACAATCTCTATTCTAAAATAAAAGAGGAATCCCAAAAAAAAAAAAAAAAAAAAAGATAAAAAAAAAAAAACTGCCACTTTAAGATTCGCTACAGTCTATCATTCAAAATTGCCTTCCAAGCAATAAAAATGATGCCTATTCTTTCCTATCCTGCCTTAAGTACTATCCTGCAAATGATGTATTTTTAATTAACATTCCCTGAACACTTGGCCAGAATTCCAACTAAAGTGGTGGTTATTTTTCTGGGGAACAAGGGGGAGAGGGAGCAAATTACCTCCTTTTAACTAACAAAAACAGCAGCCATAAGCTGCCAATCTCCATTTTCATTTTTAAAAGCATATTCCTTGGGCCTCCCCAGTGGTACAGCAGGTTGAGCACTGTGCTGTGAAGCTGTCCGCAGCCTTTGCAGTACTATGAAGCTATCATGCAACACGAGTTCAATCCCTGGCCAGCCAGGGAGATTCCCACATGGCTCGGCAGACCTCTCCTGTCTTGCCCGCTGCTCCCCTCAGCAGTGTATTTCAGTTCTTCTGCTTGTGCTGTTCCCTGCTCTGTCTCTAGTGAATCCTCTCACTCTCCCGCACATCTGGCCTGTACCCCAGTGCTTGTATAATTAAATAAATTTTTTTTTAGAAAAAGAGAGTATTCCTTATCCCAAGACTCTAAGAACTCTTCCAGCCATTAAAACTTCTAGTCCTCCATTTGCAGATAACGGGTCAATGCTCAGGGCAAGGAGATTGGTGAGTAAGGATCAGAGAGGTGACTCTAGTCAGAAGAAGGTGGGAGGAGGAAGATACTTCCTGGTATCTGCCTACTTTTGGAATTTGATCTGCAACCTCCCAAAGAAGCAACGTGATATGTAGATATGTTCTGAATTATCACTAGCCATGCAGAGAATACACAATATGAAGCATACTATTAGTTACGCTTTTGTGCAATAATCTAGTATTTGTTTTCCATGTTCCAACATTGTTCTATAAGTGAATATTATTTTTTTTAATTGGCCAAATAATACTTGTAGATAAAAAAATTACAGGAAGTTCTCATTCTCTTACATGTTACTTATCTATGAGTCTCAAGTTCTTGGCTATCTAATGAGACCTACCTCACAGAACTGAAAAAAGAAAACAATGTATTTGGCCTAAAGTAAGCAGACAAAATTTGCTTAAGTATAAACATTATTTTGTTAACACAACTAAAATTATACTTACTTTAACTTTTCAAAATTCTCAGGCTCTAAACTCCATATTTCTTCTACTTGGGCTCCTCGGCAACCTGAAATAGAAATTATTTCTTCAGAAACAAAATAACGCATTTTTCCTTCACTATCAAAATATCAACTACAAGAATTACAAATTTGGGGGCAATAAGACATGGCAAATTAAAATGATAAATGTGATAAAACTCAGAGCCAAATTCTACTACTTCTTTTTCTATTTCCTAGCTATTTACCATGGGCGTATATTCCTTCTATAATTTTTAAGTTTCAAGAGTTTAATTTTCACTGAAACACCTCCCCATGGTTATTCCTTCTCAGACTCTCAATCTCTGGCTCTTTGCCATCCACTCTTTTCATTCAACTACGTAATTTCCCCTGCTCCGCTCTTAGAAGAAAATTCTTTTTTCCTTACTATACTTTCAAGTAGTAGTAATTACCACTTAACAGGGAGTTTCATACGTATTTAGTTCCAACCCTTTTCCCAAACTCCATTTCATATTTTCAACAAACTCAAGAGTCCTTCTCCCTTTCCCTAAACATGCTCGTTCTCTGGGATAGAGGCCCTCAACCAGTGTTATTTTTCCCCCCAGAGAATATTTCTCAATGTCTGGAAACATTTTTATTGTCACTATTATCACGTGTGTGTACATGTGTGTACGTGTGTGTGTGTTTTGGGGAGGGGAGAGTTTTGAATCCAATGGGTAGAGGCCAGAGACACTAAACATCTTACAGCGCACAGGACAGCCTCTGACAATAAAGAATTGTCTACCCCAAAATGTCAATAGCACTAGGTGGACAAATCCTATAATATATATCAAAGTAATGGTGCCCAGCTTGAGCCTGGCCTTCAGACTACCAGGGCATGAATCCCAGCTTCTCCATTTACTACCTACATGACGATGTAACCTCTCTGTTCCAATGTTAATAGAGCTGTTGAGAGGAATGAGATAATGCAGGAGATGCATGTAATACAGTCCCTGATTTTAGACTAAATGTTAGTTAGTATTATTACCACAATACAAAAAAGTCATTTACCAGTGTGTTCTATGTATAAAGTACTTTAAATGCATTTTCTCTGATCCCTGAAAGGAACATATTTCATGCAAGAAGTTTAGGAATAATAAAAGGCTAGTTCAAATTACTAGTTACTATATGCCAGAAAATTAAACCCCTCATCTGGTTCCAAAGTACGGGCACTTTCTAATATTCCAGTTATTTTCAAGTGACAGTTAGAAAAATCTTTAGACCACTTGCAAACTCCTATGATTAACAAACAAAAACGTTGGTCAACCAACAATATGAGTTTGGGCATTCAAATCATGCCATGTCTCAATTTGCTCTGTTCAGCAAATATCTATTAAGTGCTCACTATATATTAGAGTGTGAGTGTGTGTTTGTGTGTGTGTGTGTGGGCAAGAGAGAGAGAAAGGCTGAGACTACACTGTTTGTGGTAGGGAAGAATGAAAAACAACCTGAATGTCTAGCAACAGACTGCTAAGTATTCTCTAATTGAAGGGGAGGTGGAAACCTTATGAGTGAAGCTATATTTATGTGTCAAGAAGGGCACAAAAGATGAACTGGTTACCACTACTGGAAATCAACTGCAAAATAGTAAAATATTAAATCACTCTATCCTAACAGAACAAAATATTCAGTGAATAAAAGAATGCTCACATCTTCTGTATGGGGGAAATTTCAAATGGTGTTTAAATAACTTTCTGTTAAACACATACACATCTCTTTGTATGAGATGGTACTCAGCTGGTAGCATCTATCTCCTTATATACATTCAATCTTATAACCTCTCATGTACAATTTCATTTAATACATGGTATAATGGAAAGAAAAATAAGCAATGATTCAAAATACCTGGGTTTTAATCCCAGCAGTGTCTTAAAGTGTTTCACCTTGAACAAGAAAATGTCTTAGTGTCTCACTTTCCTCATGTATAAAACAAGGATACCACCAGCTTCATCTAATCCACACAATTCTTGTGAGGTTATTTGTTGTCAAACAATGAACATCCCATTCTATCCCAGCAAAGATAGAAAACAATAAACTGCTTTCACAATACAAACAACTCCACAGTCTAGTAGGAATCAAGCACACACAACTCAAAGACAGAGAATCACAAATAAACTGTATATGAAATATATACAGGATGCACTTCAGAAGTAGACGAGACCATTACTATATCTGTGCCCAACACAAAAACTTTTCATGCATAGTTGAACTGGATTTTAAAAGAATAATCTTATAATTTGTCATACAAAACCAAAACACTTCCAAAGCGAGAGAGCAATAAAATTAAGTTTCAAAATTTAAGTATTGACTAACATTAATATGATACTAGTGGCATAAAATACTTCTATTTGGAAACTACTTTCAAAAAAAATTTTCTCAAAAATACACCTGGAGTCTTTCTCCCCAAGAAAAATATCCTGGTGTGGTTCTCCCAAACTGCTGCAGTGCCTTAAATTTAATTGCCTGCTAAGTATGCTATCTCCTAACAGTTTTGACAATTGTCATTCCCTTAACACGTCTATCAAAAGCAGTAAGCAGGGCCCCAGTTTCTGTACTCCCACAAAAAAATAACACCCATATGTGTTGCCCAAACTCATTCTCAGTCATCCCGTGGTATAGACAAAAGCCATTTAGCTGGTGAATCTGACCAAAAAGGAAAAATTGGACAGCAGGCGATCGCTCACAAAACATGGACTAGACACAACTATTTGAACTGAATCTAAATTGGAGATCCCAGTTTGGGTGCTCAACAATTGTAAACATCACTTGCTTTCAGAGGTACTATGTATAGCCTCATTACTACACTCATTTCTTGTGTGAAAGCCAGAAAAATTAACTTATTTCTCCTTACTCCTCAAAACATGCAGGTGACATATAAAAATGGTCATAAAAGTGGTCATAAGTGATCTTCGAAAGAACATTATGGCTGCAAAAGTCATTCAGATATGCTTTAACTCACTGGCCACAGTTGTTGAGGATGTTGGAATTCCACTTAGACATTCTTCTTGCAGACCAAAGTAGCCTATGCAATCACCAACACATCTAGCTGGGTTAATGTCTTAGCAAAATGGAAAGGTCAAAATAAAAACTTGACAAGCCACCTGCCTTTCTAATGTAAACACTACAAGAGATAAATTAAACAGATTTGGTACCAGCCCTGTGGATCAGGTCAGAGTAGTTAATGGCATATGTGGTATAGAAATGAAGGATGGACTTTGAAAGGAAACAATTTTGAATGGGTTTATCCTGTTTCAGCTTGTCTTTTGAGAACTGCCAGATTCCAGATATTCCATAAACAATGGACTATCTTTTCAAGGATATAATGCAGTAAACAAACTTGTCTCCCTGTATCACAGGGAAGACTTATTTGCATGTCTCCATGCAGCCAAAGGTTGAATGGCTTTGCTAGCAGTCCCTGCATAAAATTGGAAGTTTCTTAAGCTCAAGATTCCTTAACTGTGACACAGACTAACACGTGCAGCATTTCCATGGACCTGGAGGACAGGAAACCTATGTAACCATGAATCTCTTGCTGCCTGCTGTGCCATGAGTAATACAATCCTTCCTCTCTAAAGGAGAAGTTGTCAGCCAGCATCTATAAAAATGGCAACTGACAAGCAGGGTAAAATCCAACACTCCATAATTCTTTTTTTTTTTTTTAAAGACTTATTTTATTTATTTATACAAGCACTGGGTACAGTCAGAAGCACGGGAGGGTGAGAGAATTCACCAGAGCCAGAGCGGGGAACAGAACAGACAGACTGACGAAATACACTGCTGAGGGGAGCAGCAGGCGCAGCAGGAGAGGTCTGTCTCACCAACTGGGACCCTCGAGGGTGGCCGGGGATGGAACTGGCGCTGCAGAGGCTGCCGGCAGCTTCACAGCCCAGCGCTCAACCACTGCGCCACCAGGGGAGGCCCACTCCATAATTCTTAACAGATGTTATATTTTGTCAAATGATTTTTACATCTACTGAGATAATTATATGGATTTTTGTTTAGTCTGTTAATTGGTGAATTACATTGATTCTTGAATGCTAAACCAATTCTGAATTCCTAGGACAAACCCCAGTCAGGATGTATTGTCCTTTTAATATATCATTGGATTTGATCTGCTAAAATTTAGTTTAGAATATTTGCATCTGTTGATGAATATAGTTCAGTAGTTTCCTTTTATGTCTTTCTTATGCCATTATCACAGAATGAGTTGGCAAGTATTCCTTCCTCTCCATTTTTTGAAAGGTTTGTGCAGAACTGGCATTATTTAGTCCATAAATATTTGATAGAATTCATAAGTGAAGCCATTTTGGTTATCTTTCTTTATGGGAAGATTTTATTTAATTAGATTTATTTTTATGCATAAAAGAGCTGGGGTGGAGGTCGGAGGTGTGGGGGGTGAGAGGATTCACCAGAGACAGTGCGGAGAAGAACAGGCAAATCTACTGAAATACACTGCTGAGGGGAGCAGCGGACAAAACAGGCAAGGTCTGCTTCGCCATGTGGATCAGCTCACTGGCCAGGGATGGAATTCATGCTGCAATGGCTGCTGACAGCTTGACAGCCCTGACTTTAACCCCTGCACCACTAGGGAGGCCCTAGTGGTGGGAAGATCTCAAATTACAATTTCAATTTCTTATGTAAGGCTGCAGTGGTTATCTATTTCTTGAATAAGCGTCATAATTTGTGTTTTAAAAGGAATCCATACATTTCATACAAGTTGTCAAACTTATTGCCATAAATTTGTTCAGAATACACCCTCATTATTCTTTTAATATCTAAACAATCTAGTGCTGTCAGCTCTTCTAATTTGTATCTCATTTTTCTGATCAGTCTAACTAAAGGATTTTCCATTTTATTGATCTTTAGGAAATCAACTTTTGGTTTCACTGATTTTTTTGTTTGTTTCACTAATTTAATTCTGGTCTTTATTATTTCCCTTGATCTGCTTTACTTTAGACTTAATTTATCCATTTTTGAAGTTTCTCAAAGTGAAAGCTGGGGGTCATTGATTTGTTGCAGGAAAAGTAAAACCAGTTCCTATTACCATACATTGGCAGAAAGCAGAAGTTTACAGCTTCTAATTTTATAGAAGACTGTCAGTTTTATAGAAGACTGATGCATTTATGTATTATGTATGCAACACACCAAATAAAAGTATAGTTCTACCCTATCTGTTCCTTAATTTAATAAGAACTTTCTTTTGCCAACATACTGTATTCCACCAAAATTTGTCTTGAGTCACTGCATCCACAACTAGTGTCCCCTTCAATGATGAAACTTTTAAAATAAATTTATAATACAATTCATAATGCAGGATATTTTACTTTTGAAAGATCTTCTGAAAGCTTTTTTAAATGCATGAATTAGATGAGAAAAAAATCATAGTAATGAACTTATTATTTTCTCTTTGAATTATCTGATAATAAACAACTACCATCATTTAGTTTCTTACAAAGTTCTCCTGCTAAAAGAGTCAAGCCTTTAATAGCTATTATTCATGTTTCTTAAGTGCAGGTACAAAAGGTATATTGACATACCACTCTCTTACACATACTTTATTTAAATCATTTTTAATTCCAAATTTTCTGCACAAATGAAACAAAAGCTGTAAATGGAGTGGATTAATAAACTTCCCTAGTACAAAATTTCTTTGACTTTAAAATGTCATAAGTTAAGGTTTTGAAAAGTAATATATACACCTAAACCTGCAGACATCTCAAACCTGTATGTCCAAAACTGGACCCACCTTCTTGTCCATGAAGCCTCCTCTCTTACTTAGTCCTCTCACCACTCAAGCTAGAAAACAGGAAGTCTCTTTCACCTTTTTCCCTAGATCCAGTCTATCAGTACCTGTTGACTTAAATATATTAAAATTGTTGAATGTACCCCCTCCTCTCTAACCCACTACTTCATGAAAGCCAATCATCTCAGACGCAGTCCATTTTAAGAGACTTCCAGTACCTCTCAATTCATTCTAGTCCAGACTACACAGTACACAAAGTAAACCTTTTTTAATTTAAAAAAATGTCATTTCAGCATTTAAATTCTTTGACAGCTAAGTCTCCAGTGACTACCAGACAATCCAAACTATACAAAATGGCATACCATCTGGCCTCAGTTTATCTTTTCTGCTCCAGACTGAAATACTCCAGTTTGTTACATTGTGCTTTAGTCACTTTGACTTTAAAATGTCACTTTGACTTTAAAATTTGGTCCCTAAGTCATATATTTTAACATCACTAATACGTATGTTTTTCCTTCTGCCTGTGCTCTTCCACCTGCTCTTACAACATTTTGCTCATACTCTAACACAACAATCAATACACCATATTAGAGTTTATCAGTTCTTCAGAATCGTCATGGTTTATTCGCATTAAATATTCCCAAACTCTACCAGTGTGCCAAAATATAATGGAACAAAATATGCTTAATGAGATTCCAAATACTCAACTATGGATGAGACTCTATCAACGTTTAATTTTTACCCCTAAGCCTAAGTTTTACACAGAGTAGCTACAATTCACAATCCTTGTGCAAATGAACAGATAAAAATACAGTACCTACAGAGGAGGGGCAGGGAAGGATAAAAAGCCAAATATGTTGAGTATTCAGGAGGGACGGCAAGGAATATGCAACAGAGATATTACGAGGAGAGGATGTGGCAACAGCTCAAGAAAACACACTTCACCGGAAGCCAGAAACCAGCCGGGAGCGAAAAGAACCGGCGAGGTGGCCTAGCAGTCCCAGGCGGCAGGCGCGCGTGGACGCCCCGCGGAGCGAGGGGCACACTCGCGCTGTTCTGCTTCCAACAACTAGAACCTCGGGTTTCGGGGAGGCTTGGGACTCAGGACACCCGACCCTAGAGAAAGCGCACCACACCCTAGCTTGCCCTGCGGGACCGGTGGCCTGGACACCTGGGCACCGGCGCCCGGGACCGGAGCGCCCGCAGACCAGGGCGGCGGGAAGGGGCGCAGCAGCGCAGAAGCCTGGGGGGACTCGGGGCGCCGGGGCATGGCGTGGAGTGCCGAGTCCGGGGGACACAGCGACACACGAGCCAGGCGGGATCCTTGCCCTCGTGGTGTGGCTCTCCAAATGCCGGAGGAAGCGTGACTGCCCCGGGCTGAGGAGCGGGCGGGAGCCCAGCCTTCCCCCTCCCCGACTCCAGGTTCCCCGAGGCGCCCCCTCTAAGAGCCGCGGGTGGGAGGTGGCCGCAGGGCACCAGCTTGGGCCTCTTCCCGTGACCCCCGGCCCAGGACAGTCCCCTTGGCTCTCACCGAATCCTTTAATGAGCTCGGTGAAGACCCCGGGGTCGCTTTCCATGAGGCACCACTCCCCGGCATTGCCCGTCATGGCCCCGGCCACACACCGCCCCGCTCCACCTCTCGCTCCGGCCGCCCCCCGCACCAGCAGCCACCGGACAGCGATCTCGGCAAACCCGCCGCCGAGCTCGTCTTCCCTACGTCACCCCGCCTACTTCCCGACAGCCTCCGGGCGCCGTCACCTGCAGCGCGACAGAGCGCGGGAGGACGCTCTAGCCACCCCAGAGACGTCGAAACCCGTCTTAGGCCGTGCAGCACCCGTAGCGGATTAGGGAGGCGGAGCCGAGGCGAAGAGGCGGGCATTCGGCGCGCCGGGGAGGTAACATCCGGGATCCTCGCCCGCCGCCAGGGGGCGGGGCAGGGGCGGGGCAGGGGCGGGGCAAGGGGCGGGACTCGCTCCCGGGAACCGAACCTGGAGGCCCGGGCGGCGGCGGCGGTGCTGGAGTTGCAGCTTCCCCGCCCGTCGGGCCGCTTCCTCGGCGCCTTTCCCGCTGCGCAGGGCTTCTCCCTGGGGCGCCGCGGCGGCGGAGGCCCGACCGCCGAGCACAGGTGAGGGAACGGCGGGCGGCCGGCTGGGGGTCCTTTGTGCGGTCTCAGGCGGCCTCCCTGCCCCTACCCGCGTCCTGGCGGCGGCGGCCGAAGCAAACCATCGAGGGCCCGGCCGGGCCGCGCTAACGGGGCCAGCTGAGCTGTGGAGCCCGCCGAGCCGGCCGGGGCGGACCCCCGAGGGCGGGCCCTTCCCAAACGCGAACCGCCGCGGCTGGTGCCTGCAGGGCTGCGCCCAGGCCGGCGCCCGGAGGCCCCGCGTTACTCCTCCTCTTCCTCCTCCCGCCGTCTCGGCCAGGAGAGGCGTCGCCCGGGATCTGGGTGTCGGGAAGAAGGAGCTTTGTGGGAATAAGGCCGGCGAATTGGTCCTGGAGGGAAGGGCGAGGCAGAGGGAGGAAGGTCTGTGCGAGATTCTGGACGGGTGTTTGCCTCAAAGGCAACGGGATTGAAAATGCGTGGTGTTAGTAAGCTGCAAACACTCCTGATGGTGCTGAAGTTAAGTGATGAGTGAAGCCGAAAATGGCACTTTTCACTGGATCACGAAATGGTCCTCCTTCAGCAGGTTCTTCAGGAATGCTGGTGTTAGGGTGAAAGTCGAGTAAGGATGTGTTGATGAAGCTGCAAGTTCCAAGAAGGGCCTTTGGCTTTCAGAGAAAAAATGCTTTGGTGGATAACACTCCAATTCCTTGCTTTTCGAGCTCGTGACCGCTGCCCTGCAGTTAGGAAGCGTTGTGTTACTAACTCTGTAAAACCGCAAAATAAACATCGACTTTACTGAGCGAAATCCACAGGAAGGCTTTTATCTTAAAACAAGCATGACTGTGTTGGAAGAGGAGCTGAATTTTGTATTCAGTGTTTGATTAAGACAAAAATTGAAACTTCCTTTAAGTTTTTCCCTGCGAGATTGTGCCCCCAAACCGGGGGCCTTCTGTTGGGTATCTTGCGCTATTAAGTATTCTGAAGTCAAGTTTGTGAGGCACAGAGGGTCTTTATTAAGAGCCATACTGGAATGAGTGTCCCCGTAATCCAAAGCTGTTTGCAGTAATTTGTGGTTATTTTAAAAATCTGTCATACTGCTGTGAACTTGAAAGTGTTTTTTGTGCCCAATCAATAGATCAAAACTAACATTTATTTGATTCCCGACTTAATGAGTGTTGTGGAAAATTTAGTCCTTGATGCATCCTAGAAATAATCAGAAAGAGGAGTTAAAATTTTTAATTATATTGTTAACCTTTGGCCCTAAGAGTTCACATAAAAATCCAAATTTCCAGTTCTTTGGAAAAAATGAGGTCTGGCACATTAGACACATATAACATGGCAGCCGGTTTGCTTAAGATGCATGCCTTCATGCTGTCACATGTTGCACAGACAACATGCTGTCACATGTTTGCCCAGTTGCTCACCATTTTTTATCGCCTCACACTTGACTTGATCTACTCATGTCCATTGCCAGTCTGAATGATGGTTACTGGAATTCCTGGCACCAGTTTTTTGTATTGTTGTGTCTTTTAAACTGTCCTGTTTAAAAGTCACCTCTTGGGATGAAAGGTAGTATCTTCCACTAACAAATCATCAAGAGACTTTGAAGAACTATTCAGGTGCATACATTGAAGAAAAGTGGAATCCTTAAAAATAATGTAGTATTAGTCCTGTAAAACATACTCTGAATATTCCAGGTCTAATGAATATAAAACAGAAAGAAGTTCTGTTAATCCATACTGTGTAGTACAAGAAATCACTGCTTGTTTTTATGTTTTGTTTTGTTTTGTTTTGTTTTGTTTTAAAGGTTTATTTATTTATTGGGCCTCCCCTGGTGGTGCAGCGGTTGAGCACTGAGCTGCGAAACTGCCCACAGCTTCTACAGTGCCAGTTAGATCCCCGGCCACCGGTGAGGGTCCCACATGGCGTGACATACCCTCTCCTGCCCCGCCCGCTGCTTCCCTCAGCAGTGTATTTCCAGTCTGCCTGTTCTATTCCCCACTCTGGCTCTGGTAAATTCTCTCACCCTCCCGAGCTTCTGACTGTACCCAGTGCTTGTATAAATAAGTAAATAAATAAATGAATAAATAAATAAATAAGGTTTATTTATTTATGCATACAAGAGCTGGGGTACAGGCCAGAGATATGGGGGGGTGAGAGGATTCACCAGAGACAGAGTGGGAAACAGAACAGGCAGACTGACAAAATACACTGCTGAGGGGAACAGCGGGCAAGACAGTAGAGATATGCTGCGCCATGTGGGTACCTCTGTGGCCCATGACACTACTTTATTCTGGTTTTCTTTAACTCTGTGTGCCCCTCCTTTTTCTCCTTTAAGGGGGCCTTTTTCCCCCATAGGTCTTATTTGGGAATGTTCACTAGGATTCCATCCTTAGTTTTCCCCAAAAAATATGAACATGCTCAATCTTGTATCATCTTCAAAACAAACTTTCTTTTGATCTGTGTTCCTTATTCCATCTATGCTGCTATACTCAGACCGTTCCATTTGTAAAATTGAAAGACACCGAGCAAGATTTCTAAATCCCCTTTCTGAGATACCGTTCCCCAAACTTTATATTCCACTTTTTCAGTTTCCCTTCTTTGTGCAAGTCTTCCTGGATTATTGAGACAGCATTATTTTAGCCTTTGCTCATTCACAGTAGTCTACTGTAGGAACGCTTAATTGCAGTTTGCTGCATTTGGTGTTTTTTCTGCCTCACCAAAGAGACTATGATTTCCCTGAGGGCAGAAAAAAATTTCACCTTTTCCTTTTTAAAGATTTATTCATTTATGTATATAATAACTGGGGTATAGGCCAGAGGTGCAGGGTGGGGGGAGGTGTTAGAGGATTCACCAGAGACAGAGTGGGGAACAGAACAGGCAGATCGACTGAAATACACTGCTGAGGGAAGCAGCAGGTGAGGCCGGAGAGGTCTGCTGTGCCATGTGGGTCAGTTCCCTGGCCTGGGGTCATGCTGCAGCAGCTGTGGGTAGCTTCATAGTGCTGCACTTAACCCTTGCACCTCCAGGGAGGCCCCCAAATTTTTTACCTTTATCATGAAACAGGAATAACTTCATTGTCATGCACATAGTTTGTGGTAAATGTTTGTTGAAGTTTTTCTGTTGGTTTTTTGTTTGCCACAGGGAGAAGCCCAGTGTACTATAATGATAACTGCAGGCACCTGAATAAACAACTGTACAGTAGTGAGAGTAGCAGGAGACTGGTGGAGTGTAGACAACTGTGGTTGTTTCATTAGGTAGGAATATTGTTGCCAGGCAGCTAGTTCCAATAGCTTTAGGTATAATGAAGGAAGAAAGTGTGAAAGTTCAGATGACATAAACTATAAATCAGCTCTGTTAATGGAATGTTAATCAGGATCCTCTCAACTATAGGTAACAGAAAACTTACAAATTTACTTAATGATACATTTATTATATATTAGGAAATTTGTAAGTAGGTCACAGGTAGATACATGATATCAAGGATCCAGGTTCCCTTTTTTTTTCCTTCGACTGCCCTTTTAAGTAGGTATGTTCTCTTAAACTGGCTCCCTGATAGGGCCTCCCAGGTAGCGCAGCCATTGAGAGCTGGGTTGCGAGGCTGCCCACAGCCTCTGCAGCGCCAGTTCGATCCCCAGCCACCGGCAAGGGTCCCACAAAAAAAAAAAAACCTGGCTCCCTGATAGCTGAAGGTAGCTGCCACCATTCTAGGTGTGTATAGTATCAAGACAGAAAACAGAACATTCTTTCTTAAGAGCCCAATTCTTTTTAAGAATAAAAGAATATAGATTTAACATGTCACACTGGCTGGAGTTTTGACATGCCCAATGCCTGTACCAGTCACATGCACGAAGAATGATGATAACTTGTGGTACATACAAATGCTTGTTCCTCACCCCAGACTTGATGATTAAGAAACTTTGGAAGTGGTGGATAGAACCCACCATTGTATATTTTAACAATCACTTCACGTCATTTTGATACACACGTTTTGAGAACCACTGGATTAGAGCAATCAAAATTCAATCTTTCAGGCTAGGCAAAAGCCTCGCCTTCCATGGAAAACTTGACTGCTTAAAAAAGGATAGGAGAAAGGAGGGAGGGAAAAAATGGATGTTGGATACTCAACCTATTCAGGAATAAAGATTTTTCTTAGTGTCAGCTACTAGTACTGCCCTCCCTGCCCATTGATTCTTCTCTCTCTAGGCCTCAAGACCCCTACTCCGGCATGCCTGCTTAGTCTCTGAAGCAACAGACTATCACTTAAAAATATGGCTTCTTAGTTTTTACTTCTGATTATCATACATCACTTACTACAGACTACAATAACAGATTTCAACAAACACAGATCAATAAATATCGTTTGCCTTTTTATAACTTACTGTTTCTGTCTAGCTGTAATAACATTATGCTTTTTTTGGATAGGTTTCCTAAAAGAGAAACCTGGAAAAGAGAGAAAAATGGAAGAATCAGTAAACCAAATGCAACCACTGAATGAGAAGCAGATCGCCAATTCTGAAGATGGCTACGTGTGGCAAGTCACTGATATGAATCGACTACATCGATTCTTATGTTTTGGTTCTGAAGGTGGAACCTACTATATTAAAGAACAGAAACTGGGCCTTGAAAATGCTGAAGCTCTAATTAGATTGATTGAAGATGGCAGAGGATGTGAAGTAATACAAGAAATAAAGTCATTTAGTCAAGAAGGTAGAACCGCAAAGCAGGAGCCTATGCTCTTTGCGCTGGCCATTTGTTCCCAGTGTTCTGACATAAGCACAAAACAAGCTGCATTTAAAGCTGTGTCTGAAGTTTGTCGCATTCCTACACATCTATTTACTTTTATCCAGTTTAAGAAAGATCTGAAGGAAAGCATGAAATGTGGCATGTGGGGTCGAGCCCTCAGAAAGGCCATAGCAGACTGGTACAATGACAAAGGTGGCATGGCCCTTGCTCTGGCAGTTACCAAGTATAAACAGAGAAATGGCTGGTCTCACAAAGATTTATTAAGGTTGTCACATCTTAAACCTTCCAATGAAGGTAAGCATAAGATCTTCTTAAGGGTCGGGTTGAGGGTGAAGATACCTAATAAACAGCAAATTTTTATTTGACATAATTGTGCATTTTCTAGAAATAGCCTTTCATTCTTGAAACACACTGGTTAATTCAAATATGTTTAATGCCAACCTGGAATTAAACATCTACCACTGGCTATCCAGACATTAATTTATAATCAATAATCAAATCAAAGATTTACAGATTAATATTCCAAATCTTAAATAAATGTCACCATGCTATCCAGCATGTGCACCCAGGTGATTTTGGACTATGTAATCAGCATGGACGTGATTCAGGTTGTAAATGAAACAGCTCCTTGTCAGTAGATGACAAATAGCCAGGCTGTACTGCTCTAGGCCCTTACCATTTTTTTTCCCTCCCTGTCTTCCTAGGACATATGTTCCATGGAACCTAAAGGCTACCTGAAATAGTGCTGAACTTAACAATTCAGGATGTTAATTGTCTCCAACCAGTCAGCCAGGGGACATGGTAACTTGGGACAGTTTTTCTTATGTCTATGGGAGAGACTTTTGAGAAGTTAGTTGGATTTATAGTAATTATATAGATCTTCTTAGAAGGGAAATCAGAAAAATTTGGGGGCCGGAATAATTTCAAGTATGAATTTCTACAATAATCAACATACCTAAAATTTACATTTTTTTTTTACACCAGAAATGAAACTTGAAAAAAGCAGCTGCTCAGATGAGTTCAAATTTCCATGCTGCCAATTACTTTTTGTCTGTAAGCCAAACAGCTTAGCCTTTGAGTTTCTGTATCTCATCTTTTTAAAAGAGGAAAGGGATAACCCTTTCAATTATTGTGACTAAATATACCATGTATATCAACATACTTACCACCCCATAGTATAATAGGTGTAAAATAGAAGTGTAATATTGTTTCCCTACCCTTCCTGTCCATGTTATATGAAGATGTAGTATCTTCATAACAGAATCTCCTCAGTAATTCCTAATTTATCATATTTTTACTATGAATGGACTCTTTCAAATGAAATTTAAGCAATAAATTAGTGTAAAAGTCATGCATAACTTTTATATTTTGGTTTTTTATTTGTTTTTAGCTGAAAAATACAGAAAAATATAATGCGGAAAGTAGGTGTCCTGCCTTTCGTAAGATTTCACTATAGGTGAAAGTGTAAATTACTCTAAACTTTTCCTAAACATATAGTATTTTTTTTATTTTTTATATATTCCTTTGTTTCAGTTAAAAGCACATTACTGTTGCTTTTTCAAGTCAGTAGAAATAGTTTTATACATAAACACAGTTACATGAATATACTATGATTCATTTCACTCTTATCAGTGACAGCTTTTTATACTATTATAAAAACTTACTGTGATAAAACTTGCACAAATTTTTTTTAATGGTTAAATTTACAAATAGTATAGGAAAGTGGCCAGATTCCCATCTTTGAACATTGACGTTACTATTGATTTTTTAATCTTTGCCTGAAGAATAGGTGATAAGTTTTATGTTGTTATTTGCCTTTGTAGTTTTGGACAAAACCTCGTCTTTTTGTGTGCTTACTGTTTGTAATTTTTTTTGTGGGTTATATCATATCTTTGCACCTTTTTTGTTTTCTTTTTATTGTGGTAAGAAAAACACCTGGGCCTCCCCGGTGGCGCAGTGGGTTGAGCACCATGCTATGAAGCTGTCCGCAGTCTCAACAGTGTGGGTTCTATCCCCGCCGGCCGGCAAGAATCCCACATTGTGCTGCAGATCTCTCCTGTTGCTCCTGCTGCTCCCCTCAGCAGTGTGTTTCTGTCATCTGCCTGTTCTGTTCCCCGCTCTGTCTCTGGTGAATCCTCTCACCCTCCCGTGCCTCTGGCCTATACCCCAGCTATTGTATAAAAATAAATAAATCTTACAACAAAAAAAGGAAAACACCTAACAAATAATACCATCTTACCCATTTTTAAGTTTATAATTTAGTAGTGTCAGGTATATTCACATTGTTTTGAAAAGATCTCCAGGACTTATTCTTGCAAATTTGAAGTTCTGTATGATTTAAATAACAAATCCCCTTAGTCTTCTCCCGCAAGCCCTTGGTAACCACCATTCAGCTTTCTGTAGCTTCAAGTTTGACTATCTTAGGTGAGTACACACATGATTTTTTAAAATTTACGTAATCACAGAATCCCAGAGTTGAAAAATCTCTTGACAGTACATTCCACCTTTTACATTTCAGATTCAGTAACCTCTGCTTTTTAGTATCTTTGCCTTTTTGCCATTGAGTTACTATTCTTTTTAATACAGATAATAGTCACCATTAATTCTCTCAAGAATTTATTGATTACCTACTATGGACGGACACTGATCAAAGAACTTGGGGCACATAAGAATTTATTATACATTATGTACATTCTTTCCATTTTTCTTTTTTTTTATGCGGGGTGGTTGTTTCTGGTGCAATAAAATTTGAGTTTTAATGTAATCAGATTTAGCTATGTTTTTCTTCATAGGTTTATGTTACATTTAGAATGGCCTTTTCTAACCTAAAGTCATCAAAATATTTACATATGGTCTTTTTTTGCCTAATGTATTCATGTTTTAATATTTTTCGTTTAAATCTTTGATCTATTACGTGAAGAATGTAGGAATCCAGCTTTATTTCTTAAAATACTGCTTGGTAGTGTGGAACAAGTACTGGACCAGAAGGAAAAACACCTAAGTGCTAGTTCTAATTCAACAAATCAGTTTCTAAATTTTTGCTAATATTCTGGTCTTCAGTCTAATAAATGAGTTATTCCCTAACTTAATTCCCATATCTCAGATTCTTACATTTTTGAGGACATTATGATAATAGCAGTATCATGTTCACACATAAAAGATTCCTAGACTTTTCAGAGTAAAATAAATCTGAAAACAGACTATATAAGCTACTAGAATAAGTAATAAAATATTACCTTAATAAAATATTACCTTAAAAAAATAACACCTTAATGAAAAGCATCTTAAAAACAGAACAAGTCAATATGTGATTCAATTAATCAGATGTTTATTTGTACTTCTACTGTGTGACCTCCACAGTTCCAGAGCTTGGACAGAATAAAAATCGTAGTAGACTGCCTTTAAGGAAGTTTTGTTTCAATTGGTAAGATAAAACAGAGGACATGCTCATGTGAAATATTTAAGCATTTAAGGCAATATCAGATTTTGTACTAAAAATTAGTAAGGCTCACAGTTCTTAAAAATTCTTGCGTATTAGCATTAAATTTTGCTCAAAAGATTTAGAGTTTAGAAATAACAGATAAGCTCTGGCTTAGAGGTAGTTTATTTGGCTTGCACAGTATTTTAGGAGGAAATTCATAACAAAAAATTCAGCAAAATCAGAAGACAGCACATAAAAATCCATATTCTGGCTTTTCTTGAAGATAGACTTTTTTGGCAGCACCAAGTCAATATTTCACTAAAACCTTTGTCAAGGCATGTTCTCTTTAGTTCACCGCCTTCTTTTCCCTCATTATATATCCATGGCCTGATAAATTTATTTTAAATACCTTTCCTTTATAGACCTTTAAATTTAAGAATTCAATCCTACTTCCTTTTACAGAAATAAAAAATAAGGCCTAAAATAATCAACTGCATTTTATTGACACACTGTGGGATGCAGCCCTAATTTCTTCAGCACTCCCAGTCCAAAGTTGTAGAGAAAATGAACACATTTCTTACCTTTTTTTAAAATTTGGCCTGTAATGATTTTTAGCTTTAAAAGAAATTTTATTACCTACATACATGTTCACTTTTATCTCTGCTATTCATAAATACATTTTTATTCAACAGCTTAAAGGAACAAGTGAACATGAGGTTGAGATACCTCTGGACCCTTGTGACTTGTCTAAGAATGTGAACCTGAGGGCGACACTATCTACCAAAGTTTCTATGCTGGTGTCTCTCACACACACACACCAAAGTTCAGTAATAAATGATTTAGAACATGAATTTTCAAAATTAAATATTGAGGCAGTTCTGATGGAATAAGTAAAATTAGTTGTTTAAATGTGTTGTTATTGAAAACAGCATGATGGTTTAAAGAAGTTAACTCCTGTGTATATAGATAGTTATGCTTGTTACATAATGCATTCTCAGTAAACATGCTCTTGTGTTTTCACTTGGTGATCCTACATACCTTTTCAATTTTTTATTTTGTTAAAGGACTTGCTATTGTGACCAAATATATTACAAAGGGCTGGAAAGAGGTCCATGAATTGTATAAAGAAAAAGCACTTTCTGTGGAGACTGAAAAATTATTAAAGTATTTGGAAGCTGTAGAAAAAGTGAAGCGCACAAAAGATGACCTGGAAGTCATTCATCTAATAGAAGAGCATAGATTAGTTAGGGAACATCTTCTAACAAATCACTTAAAGTCTAAAGAGGTAAGTAAAAATTAGAATATGTTATCTTGAAATATTTATTTTTTTAAGTTTGATTTATGCATACAAGAACTGGGGTACAGGCCAGAGGTATGAGGAGTGAGAGGATTCACCAGAGACAGAGTGGGGAACAGAACAGGCAGATTGACTGAAATACACTACTGAGGGGAGCAGCAGGTGAGACAGGAGAGTTCTGCTGCACCATGTGGATAGCTCCCTGGCCAGCCGGGAATCAAACTGGAGCTGCAGAGGCTGCCATAGCTTCATAGTACTGTGCTTAACCCCTTGAGCCACCAGGGAGGCCCTGAAATGTTTATTTTTAATGCCTAATAGATACCACAGTAGTTGGCACTCAATAATAAGTGTTGGTTCCACACCAGAAAATATATTGGTTAATTTTCACTGTTAATCGAATTTTTTCTTCGCAATTCATTCATTAAATAGACTTAATTTCTTAACTCTAATAAAGAGCGAACTAATTTTTTTGACAAATCTCTAACCAGTTCACAAATTTTGATTCAGAAAGTCCTCTGAACCCCCAGTGAGAGCCTTAGAGAATATAGTATTAATATTTTTCATATAATTATGTTACAGGCCACCTTCGTGGTGGCCTAGGGGTTAAGTCTCAACACTATCACCCACTCTTATGGCCTGAGTTCAATCCCCGGCCAGGGAGCCAATCCACATGTGGTGCAGCAGACGTCTCTTATCTGGCCACCTGCTCCCCTTAGCGTGTATTTCAGTCAGTCTGCCTGTTCTGCTTGCCATTCTGTCTCTGGTGAATGCTCTCACCTCCCTGTACCTCTGGCCTGTACCCTAGTTCTTGTATATAAATAAAAATAGTGTTACACTGATTCATTTTATTTCCTTGTATTTCTGTTATTGCCATAGGTATGGAAGGCTTTGTTACAAGAAATGCCTCTTACTGCATTACTAAGAAATCTAGGAAAAATGACTGCCAATTCAGTGCTTGAACCAGGAAATTCAGAAGTATCACTAGTATGTGAAAAATTATGTAATGAAAAGTTGTTAAAAAAGGTAAACATTACCTTTGTTAGCTACTTGTAATGGAGAAAGTTGCCTTAATTTTTGAAAAGCAATCTGAAATATTGAGGTGTTCTGATTGTACTTTATAAATGAATGTGTCCTATTTTGTTATAACCATAATCCAAGAAACACAATTAACATTTTTATTTGACTTCTGAATTACACTCTGTCTATCTTGTTTCTAGGCTCGTATACATCCATTTCATGTTTTAATTGCATTAGAAACTTATAAATCAGGTCATGGGCTCAGAGGAAAACTGAAGTGGCATCCTGATGAAGAAATTGTAAAAGCATTGGATGCAGCTTTTTACAAAACTTTCAAGGTAGTGGTTTAATTTTTGTGTTTAAAAAAAAATGGCCAAGAGAAGACTTAGTATCTTTTGTGAAAATACATTTTAAAGGTGATACTAATAGTTTAAATGTCTTTGATGCCTGTTTTAAATTACCAAATTGAAAGCTTTGCATTCTCATGAAGTCCTTTGACTTTGTCCTCTGTCTTCTTAATCTGTGCTGTTGTAGATTTCATCTGTCTTGATAGGAAGTGATTTTTTTATTTTGGAATGAACATCCTGCTTCAGAGCTATAAGTTAAAATGTTTGGTTTTAAAATTTTCATGCTATTCAGCAAAACATTACCAGCCAAATTTAGCAGCACTTTGAAATGATTATACAGGTGAGCTTTATTCTCAAAGATGGTTCAATATATGAAAATCAATAAGTGTAATAAACCATATTAATAGAGTGAAGAGATAAAGCCAAATGATCATTTCAGTTGATTGCAGAAAAAGCATCTGTAAAACTCCAATATTGTTTCATGGTTAAAAAAGTACGCTTAATACAGAAGGAATAGAAGTGAACTTCCTTATTGTGATAAGGTCATTTATTAAAAGCCTATGGCTCTCTCATATTCAAATGATGAAAGAATGAAATCCTTTCCCCTGAAGTTAGGAACAAGAACAAGTATGTCCACATGCAAAAGAATGAAGTTAGAGCATTATTTTACAACATATATAAAAATTAGCTCAAAATTGATGAACTACCTGTATTATGGGCTAAAATTATAAAACTTAGATGTGGCAGTAGATTTAACACCAGAAGCTAAGGCAACAAAAGGAAAAAGAAAAATTGATAGATTTTTAAACTGTTATGCATCAAAGTACATTACCAAAAGGGTAAAGACACAATCTACAGAATGAGAGAAAATATTGCAAGCCTGTAAGGATTTTAAAATCTACAAATGAGCAGCAATAATACAAACAACCAAATTGAAAAATGGACAAACTATTTGAAGAGGTAGTTCTTTCAGGAAGATATACAAATGGCCAATAAGCACATGAAAAGATTCTCAATATTAATCTCCAGTGAAATACAAATCAATACTACTTTGTCCAAGTCACTGGGCTTTTAGGTTGTTCATAAGAATTTTAAACACTTGTTAACTAATTGTAATTCCAAAAATAGAAGACCTTCTTTCTTTGTCTTTTGGATGAAAGATAATAAATATGGTTTGTTAGAAATTTAATCTGGTTCTAATTACGGTGATTGTTTTTAACAGTTGTTTTATTTGTTTTCTCTTTAGACTCTTGAGCCAACTGGAAAACGTTTCTTGCTGGCCGTCGACGTCAGTGCTTCGATGAGCCAGAGAGTTTTGGGTAGCATACTCAATGCCAGTACAGTTGCTGCAGCAATGTGCATGGTGAGAACACCTAAGACAATTTGGAATTTTTGCCATTAAAAAAAAAAATTTACTATGGGACAAAACTGTAACATTAATTATGATCTGGAATTGCATTTTTACTTTTTGTGTCATTTCTTTTTATTTGGCACATTTACTATGTGTACATAATTGTAATAAACATACTTAAAGATAAAGAATAAGTATATTGAGAAAGCATGTCTAAACAGTCGTAATAGAAATTTTTCACTTTTACAACAGAAGATTAAATTATTAATAGTATTTTTGAAGATGTTAATAATGCGTAGAGAAATTGATAAATTTAGAAGATAAATGTCAGGGAACCAACAGTAAAAGCCAAGAGACATTAAAGAGTCAGGCTAGGCTGTCACTGAATAGCAAGTGGCTTCTCTTCTTTAGTCCTTAATACAGTGAGAAGAATATGTATGTAGTAATCCTCCCTTTTCTTCAGTTTGTTTGTCATGGTCAACTGTGTTCCAAAAATATTTCATGGAATAATATAGTTGAGAGAGTCCACTTTCACTTAATCTTTATCATGGAATATTATTACAATTCTGTTTTCTTACTAGTTATTGTTGTTAATCTCTTATTACACCTAACTTATAAACTATATCATGAGTATGTGTATAGAAAAAAATGTTATCTATAGGCTTTGGTCCTACCCATAATTTCAGGCATCTTCTGGGAATCTTGGGGTCACTGCTATACTTGCTTGCTTCAAAGAACTGATGTGAAAACCTGTTTTGTTTTGTTTTGTTTTTTAAGATTTATTTATTTATTTTATACAAGAACCGGGGTACAGGCCAGATGTGCGGGAGGGTGAGAGGATTCACCAGAAACAGAGAGGGAACAGAACAGGCAGACTGACGAAATACACTGCTGAGGGGAGCAGCGGTTGAGGCAGGAGAGATCAGCTGAGCCATGTGGGACCCTCGCCAGCTGGCCAGGATCGAACCAGTGCTGCAGAGGCTGCCAACAGCTTCACAGCGCTGCACTCAACCCGCTGCGCCACCGGGGAAGCCCGAAACCTGTTTCTTTATAAGAGTTCATGAAATTACTTTAAAAGCTATGTTAGTTACAGTGTGCTTCCAAACCAAATTCTAACCTAATTTAGAAACAAGGTATGCATTATATAGTGTTTTATGAACTATAGCTGAATTCTCACAAATCTGCCATTGAATTTTTCAGGTTGTCACACGAACAGAAAAAGATTCATACATAGTTGCTTTTTCAGATGAAATGGTACCATGTCCATTGACTATAGATATGACCTTACAACAGGTTTTAATGGCTATGAATCAGGTAAGAAACTGTTTTATTACATTTACTTAACGTATAATAATTTTATATTGGAGTTGTGTATGGTGTTAGTAAATATGTGAGAAGAAAGCATTTTGACTAAACAAAAATGATAATGTAAAAGGTAGTTTTTTTTTTTTAGGTATTTAATTATTTCAGACATCTCAGCATGGGCAATTTATTTTTAATTCATGTTTTTGTTCTGCGTAGATCCCAGCAGGTGGAACTGATTGTGCTCTTCCGATGATCTGGGCTGAGAAGACGAACACAGCTGCTGATGTCTTCATTGTGTTCACTGATAATGAGACCTTTGCTGGCCGTGTACATCCTGCCGTGGCTCTGAGGGACTATCGAAGGGTAAACAAATTCTAATAATCTTTCTCACCCCAACTAAGATTTGGTTCTCAAACATTCACTGAATTTTTCAAAAATGTTACTGAAAGTAGTTCTGTACCATCAGTAGGAGGAACACGCTGCTAACTTTGGGCTCAGTAGCACTTGAAATCAAAAAGTATTGGCTTTTTTATTAAACTTATGTAATTTATTTCAACCAGTTGCAATTCTGTGTATTACTGAGAATATCCTTTGCAAACAATATTTTTGATATTAGTCAAAATAATTTATCCTTGGTGGCATAGGCGTTAAAGTCTCAGTGCTATCAAGCCATCGCCAGCCACTGCGGCATGAGTTCGATCCCTAGTCAAGGAGCTGACCCATGAGGTGCAGCAGACCTCTCTTGTCTTGCCCATTGCTCCCCTCAGCAGTGTATTTCAATAGTAGATCCATCTGTTTTATTCCCTATTTTGTCTCTGGTGAATCCTCTCACCCCCCACACTTCTGGCCTAGACCTCAGTTCTTGTATGCATAAATAAATAAAATAAATCTTTAAAAAATAATAATAGTTTATTTTACCTTAACTATGAATGTTCTAATGATTCTGTGTGGTCCTTGAAATAGTAAAGTATCATTTCTGGGTTTTGATAAAAGAGTACATAAATTAAAACTGCAGTCTGTGTCTTGAGTTTTATGGATATTTCCATGTTCTTATCAGTGATCTTTGATTTAGCTTTATGTCATAGTAGTAAGCCGCTTCTATATGTCTTAATAATTAACAGTACTAAATAACTTTTAGGGTTTTTACAATAATTACATGAGATAAATTAAAGAACTCATTGTGGTGTCTGACCTAATGTCCACTCAAGTCATTTAACCTTAAATCACAGCTGTAGAAAGCAAGTTCTTACATGCGACTTGTAAAGAAAAGTCAAGACCACACTTCATCTGAGATGTGACTTTATGCACAGCAAAGTCAGAGATCAAAAATTGATAATCCCAGACAAATAAGTGCTTATATTTCAGACAGGTTGTTTACACAAATTTGTTTTCTATTCTGAAGATCATGTAATCTGGCCCTAAAAAATTAGCAGATTTTGTGGAGAGAAAAACATCTGATACTCTAATGAAAAGCTTTGATAGAATTTGTAATATTTTTACTTTGGAGGTTATTTGCTTTTACCTACAATATAATTTCTTAATATGTATTTTTCTCTTTTCCTACAGAAACTGGCTATTCCATCTAAGTTGATTGTTTGTGGAATGACATCAAATGGTTTTACAATTGCAGACCCAGATGATAGAGGCATGCTGGATATGTGTGGCTTTGATACTGGAGCTCTGGATGTAATTCGAAATTTCACATTGGATGTGATTTAACTATAAGTACACCCCGATCTAAGAGGTCCATTGCCATCAGTGATCTCGCTAGAAATATGCAGCTACTTCCCAGCTACTCTTAATCCAATGAAAGAAGATAAGATTGTGGTATATTCATAATGGAAAGTTTACCTTACCAAAAAAAGGAAGAAAAATAAGATGAGCCCAAAGTTTTTTCTATTTACTAAACCAGTTCTTGGGAAATAGCATCAGAATACACTGTAGCTTCCTCTATTGAATAGAGAACTTCTTATTGATAGATACTGTAAAAATAGTTTTGCTTTGATGAATAATCACATTTGTACTTAAAAGAAGAGCCAAAAGTGTAAGTAGCTCCATATCATGTCACTTGTTTAAGAAGTGCTTAATGTTTTCTTAAACGTTTTCATTGGGAAAGGACAGCTTTGATAATGTCCAAATATTCTGAAATGCACTGGACCATGTAACTGTGATGGAATGTGAAATTTATCTGTAAACTTTTATACCAAGGGGGTTCAAAAAAAAAGATACTAACTTATAAAGAGTTTTACAAATTTCTTTTAAAAGTTTTGTAAGATTACAGAAATAGCAGCTTTCTGAGTTTCTTAGAAACAGTTTTGTTTAAGATATTTCACTTAAACTTGTAGAATTATTACTACTGCCCAGAAACATCGCTATCCCTGAGAAAAGGCTAAAGATTGTGGCATCCGAGGAAGTATATATGGTTCGCTTTTTTGTTTGTTTTGTTGTATTTTATTGTGGTATATGAGGGGCATGACCGTTTCCTCTGAATTATAGCAGTTTAGCCACATGTAGTCACTATATTTTTTTCATACTCTTAAAATAACAATCTTTCACTTAACTCCCCCACTCATATGCTAAAAACATGACAAAATCTCAACTATAGCCAAATGACCTTTTTTCTTACATTAAAATAATTGTTCTAATTATCTTTAACATTTTTTTAGCCAATCATCAATGAATTTTAGATATTTTCTATTGTAAACATGTTGATGGCCTCTTATCTTTTTGTCCATTATTCATTTTATGGCAGAACATTCTTTTTTTGATAGTGTAAAATATAATAAAGCAAACTGCCTTTCAGTTTTGAAAGGCAACTTTTGAGTAGCACATTACCATTAACCTTATGTAAGAAATTATTTTTTGTATTTTTGTATATTAAACTTCCTTTTCGTTATTCTAAAGTGCATTATTTTCTTCAGCAGATACCCCTCTTTGCAGGGAGGTTTGGCCTATTGAAATGACAGTGTCTTTGCTCGTAATAACATGATTGTCTAAGGTAACACAAAACTTCAATTTTTATGTATTCTTTCAATATTAAGGATTTACTGGGGATTTATAAAGCCCTTCTTACTGTTAAAAGGAAAGTGAAATTAGTAAATTATAGCCTTTTACATATTTGGGGGTTAGAGGTTTCCAGTTTGGGGAGAAAGGGAATCTTTAGTATTGTTAGGATTTGGTAGGTATTTTCTTCTCTTTCATGGGCAGTTTGGGCTCTGGGAGTGGTAAGATATGTTTCTTTAAGCTATTTTGACATAATAAAGCTAGCTCTGCTATGTAGCTATTCCTTGATGGCAAACCCGTTAGCAGTTTGCAAATGTGATTTGCCTAAGATTTTTTTGTTCAGCAAAGCTACTAGCACACCCCCCTAAAAAAATAAAAAACAGACACATTGTTCTGATGCCATTCTTTAATACTATGTCAAGCACTGGTTTTAACATATTAACTACTTTGGATATATTAAAATATTACATGCAGATTAAATTTAAGCTAAAGGACCTAGTAGAATTACATAATTGCTATTAAATTCCTTAAGTGAACCCAAGATCTTCTTAAATTAAAAAATTATCTTTGTATTCCTATTAGAAACTGTAAATGGAATATAATATAAAAGTTTGTCCTTCAGTTGTGAGCTGTTTGTACAGAGCTTTTAGACAGATTTACCCACTAGCTAATGTTAAATTCGTCAAAGAAGTAAGATTAGATGTGACCTTTGTTTAGGTAAGTACAATTAAATGGATTAGTGTAAGAGTTAGCAAAGGAAAATAAAATCTACCACAGAAGGTAATTTTATTTTTAAATCATGGAATTTTAGAACTGGGAGAAAACTCAGAAATCTAAAAGCTAATTTTTAATTTGGTAAAGAACCTTAGGTCCTATAGAATGTGGCTTTAACCACTAGACCTAGAAATCTTGATCTCTTCATCCCATTCAGTGTTCATTTATTTCCCCATAAAATGGAAAAACATTGACTCATAAGAAGAGTAGGGAATAAAATAGAATTATTCAGTACTTTTATCTTTTTAAATATTAGGAAATAATGTATATACATGATTGCTTTAGAAGTAGAAAAACAGAAATTGTGAACATGTATGATTTTGTAGTTCATAACAAGCCTCAAGCACAATGTTTTAATTACCTGTATTCCTATACAACATAGTCTTACAGAAGAAGTGAAACAAAAATTTTACCACGTTATTAATAAAATGTACTCAATAAACAAGTTTCATGTTCTGAATTGCTTTTTGGGTTACTACTACATTAATATTTAAGGAAGTGTTGCTTTTTAAAACAATTCTAAGAAAAATAAACTATTTCCTAGAAAATATGTAAATATTTTCACAATATAGTTGTAATTAGTGAAACAAAAACTAGTAACCTCACCTTTGTGAACTTTCTTGGAAATTCCATTAACATTGGTATATATTGCTTATGTTATTAACTGTTTTATGGGAGAATATTAGCTTCAAAGATGACTCCAGTGAATGGAATTTAGTGTTAATTCTCTGGAACCTCTTGTTTTATGTAATTTAATGTGGCTGTAGACAACCATTAAATATATGTGATTCAATTTTGCTGTCGTTAAAAACATCTGATGATTTGATCAAAGGATAATCAATGACTTACTATGTGTATAAACTTTTTTTTAATAAAAAATTCTAATAAGGATATATATTTTGAAAGATAAAATGTTTTAGAACAAATAACTCAATAGGCTTAATTTTTTAAACCACTCTTTTTTGAGTGAAAAATTGGAAGAAAAACTGTCACAGAGAAGGTGAGTATTAACTAAGAAGTCACTGTCCTCTCATCAAGAGAAAGAATATATCCCAAGTCTTAGATCCCCTTGGAAAACCAAACACATACTCTAAATGAGATATTAACATTTGCCTAATCTTTTAAAATAATAGGTAAATCCTCAAATGATAAAATAACAAAGTTATTTTGGAAATTTAAAGCAGAATTCCTAATAAATCTGAGGATCTGACAGTTAAGTGAGAAACTTTAAAAGCACAATAGACCTACATGGAAATAATTAAAAGTAAATCTTTGTGATCTTTTGTTGGACTTACTAGTATTTTTACGTAAAGATATTTTACCGACAAATACAAATTTCTTGGTAAGTGATGACTTAAAAGTAGCTAAGCAAAACTGTGATGATTTAGAAGTAGTTAACCAAAACTGAAAAATTCTAGTCTTGTATATACAATTTTAGGGTGATTTGTTTTCCCTCCAGAGGAAATCAGATTTTTGGAAGATTACTTTTATATCTCATTTTTGCTCTTACAATCCCTATCCCCTGACATTACTGTCTTCTCTTTTTGTAGTCCTCTCCGTAAATAATAAATAACAAAGTCACTCATTTAGCTGTGGAATCAGTGTTTTTCAGGTTACTCTATATCCTATGCAGATTTAAGATCATATTTTTTCAAATTCACAATGGGCAGTCAATTGCAACAATAATTGCATAGATATAGTCTCGCCCAAAATCAAGTTATATAGTATATCCTTTATATTAGATGTTTGCAGAAATTTGGGGACCTTTATCAGTTATTCAGCCATTGTTTGCAGTTAGAGATGTGCCAGATAAAAAGCACTCAAAAAAAACTCAATGAATACTCTCCAAAAATAGAATGTATCTGCTATTATTTTCAAAATTACAAAAACCACTGTCAAAAATCTTTGGTCTAAGTCTTTACTGAGCTTATATATAAATGGCTTGTCACATAAAAGAATTTGTAAATAACATATTTTCAATGATTTTTTTTAATTGGTGAATTTTTACTGCTTTTGAAAAATTATGAAGTTAATTAAAAGTTAACCCATGGTAATGTTTTCCATGTATAAAAGTAATAATGTAGTTAGGTCTGTTGTTTGAATAAAAATTATTAAAAACAATACCTTTTCCTAAATCCTGAAAAATATCACATTGTACTGGATATTGGTAGAAACAAAAAATTAGAGGAATTATACTGCAAAACTCTCTCTCTGAAATTAAGGTGATTCTTTTCAATGAGAATGAATTTTGTAAATAAAAATATATATAAAGTTATTTCTAACCCTAAAGAGATTTTTCCTCTACCCTGTATTTAATTCAGCAGTGCCACACATATTAATTTTATGAATGTGAGTGACATTTAATTTTAAAACATTTAAATTTCTGTACATCTAGAAATTATCAGAATCTGCTTGAACAAATGAAATAAGCTAGCTACGTTCTGCAGGTTTAATGAACACTTGGATTGTTAAGGTAGTAAATGAATGAAATCCTTGCTATTTATATACCAGAGCTGTATATATTTAATAGAATATTTTATCAATACACAGTCAAACTTCTGTTAAATTACTTGTTAGGCTTTATTTGCAATGTAAATGGTTTAGAATCCATATATGGCCAAATTAGATTTTCAATTCTTATGCAAATAATGAAAAATAACCAAGAAAAACATTCTTATTGCCCTATTATGCTAAATATGGACTAAGTTTGGTATGGTGCGAGGAGACATAACTTATGGATTTGAGTTATATTTTCTTTTTATGGCCAGCTTCTGATAATTGCAATTCTCCAAAGAGATGAGATGATGCAATCATCTTTTAAACAAAAAAAATGGTTGGGGGTGAGGGGCATGTGTTATGCTCTAGTTCTAAACTGCCCATTTGCTTTATATAGAGGCTTTGATTTCCATAATTGACCACTTGATGAATATTTAAATTAGAATAATACCTGCATAGAATAAAATTTATGCAAGAGCCTTAAAGTGAAAAAAGAACCTCTGACTGCCTTAAAATATGACTAGCTCTCAAATACAGGCATACTGGTTACTTTCCATAAGTTCTGTTCACTAAGTAATGCCTTAATAGTGTTAGTGTTTCTCAAGTACAGAACTCAAGGGTCTTTTAGAACTTTCGCTTTTAGTTACCAAATGGAAATGTAACTAGTAAGTTTTAAAACCCGATTGTACATGAGTAGTTTTAGCACTGGCCAACAAGAGAATCTGGGCATACTGATGTGTTTATACATATATGACTGTTAGCATCAGGAATATTTTGTGGTAGTTTAAGGTTTTTTATTGTTTTGTATATATCCAAGAAGCTGGACTTTATGTGACATGATCTCCAAGGACCAAGTTGCATATTTCAACACTATGAAAGAAAAATACAGTTGTATAGTTCCAAAAATGAATTTTTTAAGGGAATTTTTCAAGGCAAAGGCAAATACTTTGTTTCAAGCCTACAAGCAAAGAAGTGAATAGTTAAAACATTGTGACTGTTGCAATAAAAAAAAGTATCTAGGCCAGTGATTTAATTACATTCATATTTTTTCACTTTGCCTTTCAAAGCAGGAATATTTTAGAAAACTGAAAGAAAACTTTATAAATTGCCAAGCTGGTGCTTAAAAGTATATGAAGTTTGGTTTATAACAATTTTCATTTATCAGAAAGGACCCTGAAAAGGACAGGTGGGGGCCTTACTAAGTCTATTGATAAACTCACTGGTTTTTGAGTCTTCCAAGTTTTCACTGTATATAATATACCTATAATGCAATTTTGCTGTTTTCTGGTAGAATATAGAAGTACTAATGTATTAAATTTATTTCATGAAAAGTTTTCACCAATACTGTGAAATCTTTGTCCTTTCTAGCTTTGCAAAATACCATACTGAATTTATTAACCATTTTAAATTATGGAGTGCAGGTAAATTGTTTATAGTCAGTTGTATTGTAGAAATTGTTAGATGTACCAAATAAACTCTATGCACATCAAATACTTGTCTTTATTTCTTTAAAGAAATGTGAAGTTTAAGGGCCTCCCCGGTGGCGCAGCGGTTGAGCTCTGGGTTGCGAAGCTGCCCACAGCTTCTGCAGCCCTGGTTCGATCCCTGGCTGCTCCCCTGCCACCGGAGGAGGGTCCCACATGGCACGCAGACCTCTCCTGCCACCCGCTGCTCCCCTCAGCAGTGTGCTTCCGTCCTTCTGCCTGCTCTGCTCCCCGCTCTGGCTCTTGTGAATTCTCTCACCCTCCCGCGCTTCTGACTGTACCCAGTGCTTGTATAAACAAACAAACAAACAAATAAACAAAACATGCCTCTATAAAAAAATAAAAATAAATAAAAATAAAAATAAAAATAACATCAGTTTGAAAAGTATTCCCAATCACAGAATTGAATAATATCTATCAATTAATTAGGGGCATATAGTCTAATTAATCTGTACAAATATCTGGATCCCCAATGGGACATTTCCAATAGCCTTTCATTATATTGTGGAAAGCAGAACTGCCCCCCCTCCACAATATAACTAAATAAAGTACAGTTCTGCACTATTTCAAACATCCATCTCATACAATGCTGAACTCTTCCTTCTTTTCATTTTTGCTCATAAATACAGTTCTAGTCACTGGAGTTACTAAGTACTCTAGAAGTACAAAATGTGAATGCTTATCTCAAAATAGTACAAGACTATCCCTCCTGAGTTCACAACCATCTGAGTGAGACACTTCATTTTATTTTACTTTTTAAAGATTTATTTATTTATGCATACAAGAGCTGGGGTGTAGGCCTGAGATGCGGGGGTGGGGGTAAGAGGAGTCACCAGAGACAGAGCAGGGAGCTGAACAGGCAGTCCACTGAAATAACACTGCTGAAGGAAGCAGTGGGTGAGTCAGGAGAGGTCTGCTGTGCCATGTGGGTAGCTCCCTGGCCGGGGATCAAACTCATGCTGCAGTGGCTGCGGATAGCTTCATAGATTGCATCTTAACCCCTTGTACCAGGGAGGGGAGGCTCCCAGACACTTCATTTTAAAGAAGAAATCACATTAGTGTTCACCATTGAAAGCTGTAAAATAAGGTAAGGTATAAACTCCTTCTGAATACCATATGGAATACAGAATACCAAACGCTTACCTTCTAGTTCTTGGTTGCTAAATTCATAGATAAAACCCATTACTTTCTTATCTTTTGATATAACTCCACTCCTTCAGTCTTAAATAACATTCCTTTTTCTCAGGAATTGGCAAGTAGGAAGGTGAGGTTTCTACAGTAATTTATTGTTTTACTTTAACAATTTTTTCATGAAGATAATTCATATAACATCCCACAAAATTTAAAAGGCATTATCATTTTAAATACTGACATTTCATTTGCAAAGCTAGGAGCACCTACATCACTCAAAGTCTTTCCTCTTACTTTTCTTTAAATAACACTGATGAACTAGAGGAAGCAATTTCCCTTCTTTGTGAAGCCTGTGAGTATCAGTTGCACCTCCAATAAAAGTTCCATTGACAAATATTCTTGGCACCTATTGGATAAACAGAGTAGGTGTCAGAAGTATAAGACCATTTAACATAATAACAAACACATTCTTTGGGTATTTTTTTGGATCAGGTACCATACTCTGCTCTTCCAAAAAATTACCTCTTTAAGTCTTTACATCCCTTGAGGTAAGTACTAATACTTATATGCCAATATTTTGGAGGAAAATGAGGCATAGGAACTTATCAAGATCCGTGATAGAAAAGGGACAAAGCTGGCATTTCAATCCCAAACAATCTTACTCTCAAGCCCTTCCTCCTAGTCATCATGGTATTTTAAAGGGGAAATAAAAGTCTCTAATTATTAAAAATTTTCACTTTTTTTTCTTACATCTGTTTACGAAATGGGATGAATACACTCTACGTGTCTTCCATGCACATGTAAATCAGAAGGAAAAGTGCAAGCATTGTATATTTGTCTGATATTGCATACGATGCAAAAATATACGTATTCCAGAATCTGAAAACATGGAGCAGTAAGCATTAAAGAGAAAACTCCTATTAGTTCAGAAACTGAAAGACTTGACCCCTGACCTGTACTGTCCAGGGAAGTATGGATACTTTCAGGTTCAGAATGGCTTCAGGAGGACCTTAACAATTGACACACAGTCCTTATAGCTCATAATCTCTCTCTGTCTCTCTCTTTCAGGAGGCCCTTAACAATTGACACATTGACACATAGTCCTTATAGCTCATAATCTCTCTCCCTCCTCTCTCTCTCTCTCTCTCTCTCTCTCTCTCTCAAACACACACACACACACATGAAGAAAAAAATGATTTAGCTCAGCTGTTTCTTACTCTAAGAATCTGGTTTCTCAATCAGCCATCTCTTTTTCACAAGACAAGGCTCTAGAAGGTCCAATCACCACCAGAAAAATACTCACGGTTCTTTCTCCAGTCATTTTGTAGAGAGCATCTTGAAACTGGCTTCCATATTCAAGCATATCCAGTTCCACCACTTTATAGTTTACATTCATGTCATGGAAAAGCTTTTTTGCCATTGTACAGTAAGAACAAGATGTTTTGGAGAAAATCACCACGCAATTCTCAGAAATGGTTTCCTGAAGCAAAACAAAACAAAATTCTAACTCTAGATATTATGTTTGTGAAAGAAATCATGTAGATAGAAATCATAGTGGAAAGGATATGGATTTTAGGGTTCAAATAAGTATCATCCAGTGTTCTCTTCTGTTAATTGAAGAGAAAATTCACTTCAAAGGAATGTTATTAGGAAAAAAGGACCTAAAGACTGGCTTGCCATTAACAACAAGTGTAACTAGTTCGTATACAGCAAACATTTTGTAGCAGACACAGCTTTCACTTCTTTACCCTTACTACCTCATGAAAACCTCACTGCCATCCTGAGGTAGGTCCTGTTATTACCTCCACTTTACAGATGAGGAACAAAGGAAGTTAAAGAGCTAACTTAAAAGTGCTCAACTAGCGCCTTCCCAGTGGCGCAGCGGTTGGGCGCTGGGTTGCTAAGCTGCCAGCAGCCTCTGCAGCGCCGGTTCGCTCCCCGGCTGCTCCCCGGCCACTGGAGGAGGGTCCCACATGGCGCGCAGACCTCTCCTGCCGCCCGCTGCTCCCCTCAGCAGTGTACTTCGGTCCTTCTGCCTGCTCTGCTCCCCGCTCTGGCTCTGGTGAATTCTCTCACCCTCCCGCACTTCTGACTGTACCCAGTGCTTATATAAATAAATAAATGAAGATCTTAAAAAAATAATAATAATTAAAAAAAAAAAAAAGTGTTCAACTAATAGGTGGGAGAGCTGAGAGCTGACCCAACTAATTCTGGTTCCAGTCTAGACACTTTATCTCTTCTTAATACTGCTTCTCTTTAATAATTGGTAGGTGTTCAGAATTAACTCCTTACCAACCTTGACTTTCAGTGATGGGGACCAATGTATGATTTCTCTTTAAAACTTGTCTTTTACAGACCCAGTTATAAACAGCTTTCACTCTTTCCTGTATATCTATTTTTTTAAAGATTGATTTATTTATGCATACAAAAGAGCTGGGGTACAGGCCAGAGATGCAGGGGGTGAGAGGATTCACCAGAGACAGAGTGGGGAGCAGAACTGGCAAACTGACTGAAACACACTGCTGAGGGGAGCAGCGGGCAAGACAAGAGAGGTCTGCTGCACCATGTGGGCTGCTCCCTGGCCAGCCAGGTATCAAACTCGTGCTGCAGAGGCTGCAGATTGCTTCATAGTGCAGTCTTAACCCCTTGCACCAGCAGGGAGGCCCCTTGTATATGTTTATTGTGAAAAAAAAAAAACTGTTATTACTGCCTTGCTAAGGTATTCTTATACTATGGTCCTAGAAAAACTACTTCTAGAAATGCTGATTCAATGGGTTTGAAAGAGCTGTCAGAAACTATTTTTTTCTAAAACCTTCCTAGATAATTCCAATGATATTAATGGAGAGAACTCGACAGGTCTCTGTCACAAAGTCCATGAGACTTTGCTATGTGTCTGCATTACTGTAAAATGTGTTTTGTTTCTAAATATATAAACGTTCAGGTTCTTCAAGAAATGTGGAGTGGCTAGGCCACCAATTAGGCATCTCTCTGGGATGTTCTCAGGTGTGTCATAAGTAGCACTTCCATGATACAGGCCAAAAAGCAGAAAGCAGAGAACCCAGGGAAAGTAATTCCAAAACTCTATCTCCCCTTGGGTGTCAGAAGAGTCCCGTGTCACAGCCTGTCCTTTCCTTTCTTCTGCTTACTCAATATTTGCATAGAAATCTGAGGGAGAGTCAGTCATACCAGAGATGTATTTTTTAAAAGATTTATTTATTTATTTTATATAAGAACTGGGGTACAGGTCAGAAGCACGGGAGGGTGATAGCCAGAGCGGGGGAGCAGAACAGGCAGATGGACCAAAGACACTGATGAGGGGAGCAGCGGGCGAGGCAGGAGAGGTCTGCTGCACCATGTGGGGTTCTCCCTGGCTGGGAGGGAATCGAACCGGTGCTGCAGAGGCTGCGGGCAGCTTCGCAGTGCGGTGCTCAACCGCTGCTCCACCGGGGAGGCCTCAGAGATGTATTAATGAATCCATTTTATAAATGAGAATCCTGAGGTTGACAAGTTCACGATACGGGGATTTGATCTAACACTATCCCAATGCCAAAAGCCAAGGCTCTTTCCTCCACCTGTTGCCTCAGGTTACTGGCACAGTGGGAACAGCACTCATCACAGATGGGCAAAGTGAGCAAGAACTCAAGATGACAGGTTCAGTTTCTTGACCCCTCCTTTCCACCTTTTCTCAGGTGCATCCTTGATAAGCCCTTCATGGTTCTGTTTTCTTATTGTAAAAGAGGTAACTCCCTCATAATATGCTTCTGGCATTGCATTTATATCCCATAGCTATAAGGGACTACATTTTCAATGAAATAAATTAAAAGCAGAGATTTTATGTACACAGTAGTGCTTCGTGGTGAGGAACAGAGGAAAACATGAGGATGTCAGCTTCAGGGAAAGAAAAACATACATACAGAAAAATGTTCTGTAGCAGACTTTATTCGGCTTTGTAGTGAAAAAAGAGGAAAATTACAGATCACAATGCAGGTGAGAGGTTGTTATAGAGTAACCACTGTGTCAGGGAAGAAAGCTTTCTGGGCCAAAATCAAATGGTATCCCTGGCTAAGGGCACCTTGACTGGTGTCAACAGCAGAGCTGAAGTGGGCATAACGGAGAGGAGCAGCCATGTTCAGAGACCTTCACTTCAGGAGGAGTAAAGACTCCACGAAGAATAAATCATAGGGGCCTCCCTGGTGGTGCAAGGAGTTAAGACATAGCACTATGGAGCTATCCGCAGCCACTACAGCTTGAGTTCAATCCCCAACCAGGGAGGTGACCCACATGGTGCAGAAGACCTCTCCTGCCTCACCCACTGCTCCCCTCAGCAGTGTATTTCAGCATGTCTGCCTGTTCTGCTCCCCACTCTGTCTCTGGTGGATCCTCTCACCCACCGTAATCTCTGGCCTGCACCCTAGGTCTTGTGTGCATAAACAAATAAATCTTAAAAAAAAGAATAAATCATAAATTTTGACTATTAAAATGACTGAGGACTTCTTGGTCACATGGGTTATTTTGACAGCAGATTTTAAAATATACATTAATGCAGTAATTCACTCACTGAACTGTATCAAATTCAGATACGAATAAGCATAATGAATGTGTAAGACACAATTCTTTTACCAGAAAGTTCTTTCCTACATTTCCCACATCACTCACTTGGATCTGATTCACAGGAGCAGTTGCTGACGTCCCCAAAGACGAAGATGTTCTGTTCCCCATTCTGAAAGAATCAGAAAAAGTAAGTATAGGTTATTAAACATTAAAAATATCAGATGAGATCCACTTGAAGAAATCCAGACAGGCAAATATATATCCAAACTAATGAAACAGGAAAGTCTTAATTATTATCTGTACAAAATATCAGTTCACAAAGTATCTGTTTACTAAAATCAAAAGGAATATGAGCTTATCTAACTAGCTTAATTATTTCATCAAACCACAGTTATTTGATTATTTGATCAAACCACAGTTACCATGTTTAAAAGCTGGCATCCGCCAACTCTCTGTGAAGCAGGGAACCTACAAATATTCAAAGGTCTAAGGGAAACTAAGCTATCTCAGTCATAAGGATCCATTACTCTAAGTTTGCCAGTCTGTAAAGTGGAATTATAGTCATGCATCACAAAGGGTTTGGTGAGGCTTGAATTGATACACAGAAAGCAGAACAATGCCTTATATACAGTAAATGCTTGATAATGTTTGACATTACTACTATTATTTCTTGATTACAGGGACCCACATTATCTCAGTACTTATTATCCAAAACCGAGTTGCTGAAAACCTGTAAAAGGAAGCATTCATTGTAACAGGAAAATATTCTCTGAAAAACTGAACAAATTCATATCATCAAATTTCTCTGCCTATTCCTCAAAACTTTCCCCATCCATTTCACTTTTCTTGATCAGTCAGACGCTAATGGATTGTTAGAATACCAATATCATGAAGCAAACTAGCTGCAGAACAAAATCACAGATCTTGCAGAATTATGAGCTATTGGAGGATTCAAGAGAAAATTACTTGAACATCTAAATATTAAGAGAATAAGGGCCTCCCCGGTGGCACAGCGGTTGAGCGCTGGGTTGCGAAGCTGACCGCAGCCTCTGCAGCGCAGGCTCTGTTCCTCGGCCACCCTCGGCCACCGGGTGAGGGTCCCACATGGCGCGCAGACCTCTCCTGCTGCCTGCTGCTCCCCTCAGCAGTGTACTTTGTCCTTCTGCCTGCTCTGCTCTCCGCTTTGACTCTGGTGAATTCTCTCACCCTCCCACGCTTCTGATTATACCCAGTGTTTGTATAAATAAATAAAAATAAAATCTTTTCAAAAAAAGAACTATAAGAAATAAATTTTTAAAAAAATAAAATAATAAAATAAAATAAAAATAAATAAATATTAAGAGAATAAGATCAAGAATAGAAACTTTAAATATTTCAGAGAATGCTCTTATGGTTATGCTGCAAAACTTAAGTTTTGATAGGAAAAAGTCTCCCTCCAAATTAACACTTCATTCACTGTCAGTGTACTGAAAATGTAGATGTTATCAGATATAAAACCAAGCTGCTTTCTACATCTATTTTCTTTTTTTCCAAGTTAGCAATCAAAATAAATTTTTTTAAGCTTTCTCTTTCTCTTTCTTTCTATATTGCTTTCTCTCTTTCTCTCTTTCTTTCTTTCTTTCTACAAGAACCAGGGTACATGCACAGGAGGCCAGATGCACAGGAGAGTGAGAGGATCCACCAGGGACAGAGCGGGGAACAGAACAGGCAGACTGACAAAATACACTGCTGAGGGGAGCAGTGGGTGCGACAGGAGAGGTCTTGCTGTGCCATGTGGGATCCTCACCAGCAGGCAGGCTGGGATCAAACAGGTGCTGTGGAGGCTGTGGACAGCTTCATAGTGCGGCGCTCAATCGCCTGCGCCACCAGGGGAGGCCCCAAAATAAATTTTTTTTAGTGTATAGCAGGAAATCTTTAAACTGTTTTAAGAATCCACATTAAATGGTTTCTTACATGTTACCTTTTGAGTGAGGTGCTCTGTCCCACAGAGTAGTGTCTGCACACTTACAATAATGAAACTGACAAACATCATCTTTAGTGATCACAAAGCTTTAGAGAGACTCCTCCACCTGAACATTACATAACTCCCTAATGTTTACAATCTATTATTCCATACTTCCCAATAGATAAGAAAACCTTCCTAACAAGAAAGGTCCCTGTGCCTGTGTCAGAAAAGGGCTAAGAGAAGCAAGTTAGAAAGTTCACAGCCAGGGGCCTCCCTGATGGCACAAGGGGTTAAGTCTCAGCACAATGAAGCTATGGCAGCCTCTGCAGCTCCAGTTCCATCCCCAGATAGGGAGCTAACCACATGGTGCAGCAGACCTCTCCTTAACTTGCCTACCCTTAGCAGTGTATTTCAGTCTGCCTGTTCTGTTCCCCACTCTGTCTCTGGTGAATTCTCTCACCCCCCACACCTCTGGCCTACACCCCAGTTCTTTTTTTTTTTTTTTTTTTTTACCATTTTCTCCATTTTATTTTTTTTATTTTTTTTAAATAATAAATTTTATTTTTATATTCCCCATACAGTTGCAACCCCTCCATTCTGACTCCAATCCCACCCCTCCCACCCCCCACCCCCCAAAAAGTATCTCTGGTTCATAGTTTTTTGTTGATTTTGATTTTCACTTTCTTATAGTTATTCATTTTCCTGGTCCCTTATTTAAGTTTTCTAGATTCATGCTATGAGTGAGACCATCCGGTATTTTTCTTTTTCTTTCTGGCTTACTTCGCTGAGCATGATCCCTTCCAGCGCCATCCATGTTGCTGCAAAATGCATGTGTTTATCTTTTTTGAATGCTGAGTAATATTCCATGGTATATATGTACCACATCTTCTTGATCCAGTCATCTATTTTTGGGCATTTGGGTTGTTTCCAAAGCTTAGCTATTGTAAACAGTGCTGCTATAAACATAGGGAACACCCCAGTTCTTGTATGCATAAATAAATAAAATAAATCTTTTTAAAAATCTCTTTAATCTCCAGTCCAGGATTGAATCGTCACCCCAAACCATCCATTATTTGCATCTATTGTGCACTTGCACTTACAATTGAAGCAGGAGTTCCAGTAGAACTTTCCTAAGAGGATGTTTCTGGTAGCAATAGGAGGAGGAAAGGGTATTCTGAATCATCACTCCTTTCCGAAAGTTTCTGGAAGGTACCCTTCTCCTTCAATACTAGTGGGCTTGGTAAAAGTTATGATCCACAAAAAAAATGGAGGAGGGCACAACCAACGTTTCATTTCCACCCTGATGAAGTATCTGCCAGTCACACCACATTTATGGAGCCCCTACTATGTGCTAGGTAAGCAAAGTGGTAGATGCCTCCAGGATGCACATACCTGGAGAAACACTACTGGCCTCTAAGACCATCCATCAAATGGTTACCCCACATCAGATTAGGGGTTATCTAATAAGAGGCTCACCAGCTCCACAGAGAAATTCATCAAGAGTTCTAGAGTCCAGCAAAAGCAGTAGGAGTTACCCAATCAAATGGGTTGGAAGAGACTCCCAGAGGGAGGAATGGCTGCACGGGCGAGGGCACAGAGGTGCTGGGTGGCAGGGCTGGAGACCCGGCAGGGCATCCGCAAAGGCCTTGGGTCTCAACTCCACAGATCTGGGGGCGCGGAGTATCAGAGTGGACACGCAGGGAAAACAATGCCCTCGATCTAGCCACCAAGACTAAGTCACCGTCCCTGCCTTCATAAACTTGTCCATTTAGTGGGCAGCCTCACCTTCACTGCCCGCCGTGGGGTTGCCAGGTTTAGCAAATAAAAATGCAGCGCGCTCGACTCGATCAAATTACTTTCAGCTAAACAGCGAATTCCTGCGTAGTCTGCCTAGCCCCAAAATAGCAGGGGACTTGCTGGGGACGCAACGCCGGGGGTAGACTCACACTACGCACGAATTCGCTGTTTATCTGAAACGCCGGTGCTTGCTAGTATCGTGCCCGGCAAACTTCGCGCAAGCAGGGGTCGCTCCCGGGCACCCCGACTCAAAGACGTTCAACCTGAGATCCCAGGATCCCTAAAGTGCACAACAGCTCAGGGCACCTTCGCCGCCCCCCGGCCTTCCTGGGGTCGCCCCCCGGCCTTCCGGGGAGCCCCGCCCAGCTCGCCCACCCGGCCAGGGGTGAAGAGGACCCCCCGCCCAGCGCTCGAGGCGGCCCCCGCGAGGCCTCCGCGCGCCGATGGCCCGTCCTGCCCGTCCTGCCCGCCGCGCCCGGTACCTGGCGGCCGCCGCGCCCGCAGCCCCGCCGCGCCCGCCCGCCGCGCCGCTCCGGACGAGCCGCGTCCCCGCCAGCGCCGCGCGGGGCCAGTTCATGATCCGAGCGTCCCGCCGCGGCCAACCGAGGGGCAGCGGCCCGAGACCCAGAGGCGCGAGAGCCCGGCCCGCCTCGCCCCGCCCCCGGCCCCCGCGCCCCGCCTCGGCCCGCCCCCGGGGCTGCCCGCGCCGCCGCCGGTCTCCGCTGCGCCGGGCGCGCGGGGTCCCGCCTTCGTGGGGACCCGGGCCGCCTCACCTGCGGTCGCGGGGGTTCAGCCCAGCCCGCCCCTGCTGCATTTAGGGCTAGCGTCGCTCATCCAGCGCGCAGCGCGTGGAGACAGGGCAGGGTGTGTGGGCAACTTTCGGGCAAAACGCGCAAGAGAAATAGTGTTTCCAAAATAGAACCCCGGGAGCCGGGTGTTTATGGGCGGGCGGCGGCCGCGTCGCCACTTCCTGCCCGACAGGTCCCTGTGCGGGTGGAGTAAGACCCTGAGAGCGTCACCTTCCAAGCAGGTCATTGACGGACAACCCAGATGCGCCGGGGCACGCCTGGATTTTAGAGTCAGAATTAAAGGGAAAAGGGTTTTGATGTAGAACCTTTATTCCGAAGAAAACAAGGACGGTGTTCGCAAAATAAAGATGAAATTAGGGCCTCCTTGATGGCGCAAAGGGTTAAGACGCAACCTATGCTGCTACTCGCAGCCTCTGCAGCATGAGTTCGATCCCCTGCTAGGGAGATACCCACATGGCCCAGCAGACCTCTCCTGTCTCACCTGCTGCTCCCCTTAGCAGTGTATGTCTGTCAGTCTGCCTGTTCTGTTCCCCACTCTGTCTCTGGTGAATTCTCTCACCGCCCACACCTCTGGCCTGTACCCTAGTTCTTGTATGCATAAATAAATAAATCTTTTTTTAAAATTCTATAGTTTTAAAAAAATAAAATAAAATAAAATTAGAAAACTTAAAATAGCCCAAACATGCCTTATCAAGACTCTGAAAATAGGCCAGAGCTGCTAATGACAGTACTGTCACGGTCATAACTTTGTAAGCGCTAAGGTGAGGTTGTGGGCCTTTGTTGTTCTATAAGAAGAACATTGGAATCTAGTTAAGGGCAAAGGTCAAATGGTGTGTCTAAAGTTCTAAACAATTATTACAACAATCTAGGCCTTTAATGATCCTTTATGTTCAACTAAGTTTAAGATTCAAGTTACCAAGTTACAAAAATAGAACTTTTGTTTCTGGTAGTTATTTTCCTACTTTCAAGCGTTTCATAAAAGGGTGAAAGTTAATTGCAAAAACAAATACCCCAGAAGGTGTGAAGTTATTCTTCATAAATCCAAAATTAACTTTAGAAATATTTGGGGGGGCCTCCCCTGGTGGCGCAGTGGTTGAGTGCTGGGCTGAGAAGCTTCCCGCAGGCTCTGCAGTGCTGGTTCAATCCCCGGCCTCCGGCGAGGGTCCCACACGGCGCGCAGACCTCTCCTGCCGCCCGCTGCTCCCCTCAGCGGTGTACTTCATCATTCTGCCTGTTCTGCTCTCTACTCTCATCCTCCCACGCTTCTGACTGTACCCAGTGCTTGTATAAATAATCAATAAATCTTAAAAAAATAAAAAATAAAAAAATAAAATTTAAAAAAAAAAAAAAAGAAATATTTGGGGGCTTGGTTTCAATTTAATCAAAAGAGAACTATTGAAGAGATTTACTAGGTCACTTTTCTTTTGAAGTTGAGCTTTACCTTATTGTCTCAAATTGACCTACAAAATAATGACCATTATAAAGTGAAATAATCACATCACGATTTAGTGTTAATGCCTTATAATGGCCCAGAGTGAGCATAGAAGGCATCTCAGAATGCAGGTATGACAGACAAAAGTGTTATGCCTGAATTAAGCATAATATAGTAGTAATTTTCAACTCTACGTGCTTCCGTGGTTAGCTACAAAAGTGATTTTTGGTCATTACAGTGATGCCTACACTTACACATTGAGAAGCTTGCTGTCTGTTCATTTTACATTTATGGTTTGAATAACGAGGGGTGCTAGTATAAAATCAGTAATGTATTAGTAAATGCAGCCTTATGAATTCTAAATTTTTCTTCATGACTCAACGTGGTATCTTTGAAAAGAATTCATGTAACTTTAGACTTTTTTTCAAAAGTGTTTTTCTTACTTATGTTTTCACTTCAAACTTAAACATTTTGTTTTGAGAACAACAGCAGGTTTGTCTCCTGCCTCAAGGCCATTAGATGAGCCAATAATGAGATTTACTTGAAAATGCCCTAAAGGGAGGTTTTCTTTAAAAAAAAAAAAAGATTTATTTATTTATGCATACAAGGGCTGGGGTGCAGGCCAGAGGTGGGAGGGGGAAAATGTGGGGCGGGGGGTGAGAGGATTCACCAGAGACAGAGTGGGGGGCAGAATAAGCAGATCTACTGAAATACACTGCTGAGGGGAACAGCAGGAGAGACAGGAGAGGTCTGCTGCACCATGTGGGTGGTAGCTCCCTGGCTGGGGATCGAACTCTTGCTGCACGGATAGCTTCGTAGTGCTGACACTTCACCCCTTGCACCACCAGCGAGGCCCCATAAAGGGAGGTTTTGTATAGTGTGTCAAAAACCCTTGGACCTTAGCCATCTGATGTGGGAAGCTTTAGAATTCTTCCTCCAAAGAAAAGTTTTAAGAGGAGACTGATTCGAAGGAATTAAGGGTCAACTATTGTATTATTCCTAAGACTTGTACAAATTACCATTATCTTAAAATGACTGAAACTTCTTTTCTCAAGCATCTGAAGTTCAGAAGTCCAAAATCTTTTAGCACCATGTTCTTTCTAGAGGCCAACATAGACAAGAGTTCATGTCCTTTCTCTGCCATCTTCTGGTGGCTCTAGTTATCCCTTTGTTTCCTTGCCTCATGACTGTCACTTTAATTTCTACCTCCATCTTCCCATCAGCAACCCCTCTGTGTGTGTCTGATTAGAACCCTTGTGATTAGATTTACGGTTCACCTGGGTAATCAGGATGGTTTTACCTCCAAGTCCTTAAATAAACTGCATCTCCAAAGATTCCATTTTTCAAATAAGGTAACATTCATGGGTTCCAGGGAAATAACCTGGATATCTTTGGGAGACAACCATTTCTTCAGCTTACCACAACTCATAAACCTAAATCAGCCTAAAGAAATCCTCAGATTTCATTGAAGCGTCCACCAAGAAAAACACAACAAAGCTAAAATAAAATAATAGCATTTGGAGCCTCCCTGGTGGCGAGAGGGGTTAAGATGCACCACTATGAAGCTATCCGCAGCCACTGGCCAGAGTTTGATCCCTGGCCAGGGAGGTGACCCACATGGCGCAGTGCTGGGAATATATTGCCCTGAAGGGAGCTAGAGTCTTTGTAGAGTACCTGTTTACTCCGCATGCGGAGTTCCAGCACATTAGAAGTTCTGCAAAGAGAACTTCCAGAATTGACTCCTGTTCCCTGAGGATGTTCTGGCTTTAGCTCATGTTCCCTACTAACTAGAAAAGCTTATTTTTAGCAGTAATTTATTAATCTGTAGAAGCATAAACACAATTGCGTGCTATTTTCTTGTTCCTTTGTTCATATTGTTACAGGACAGGGAGGGGGGCACCCCAGACCCTGCAAACCTGCCTGCTCTAAATAGGTTCTGCCATCTGTCACACCAACACAAAACATATGAGACTTCAATGAAAAGGAACTTTAATACAATTAGTAAACAATACAGGAAAGGAAAAGAATACAGGTTCTAAATCAAGCACCCAAAGTTACCCATTCCCTCATGGGTAAAAGTCCACCCAAGCGGGATTGGCCCAGAGCAAGGCCCAAAAGCCTGCTCCAAGTCTAAAGCACCACAGAAAAGGATCAAGAACAACCAGACAAGTCTGGGAGGAAAAGAGAAAATTCAAAATCAAGGTGAAAGCTGCAATTGTCATTCTCCCTGTGGGTCTCTCACCCACATCTGCTCCAACCAGTCCATGACCAAAAGGCAAGCGCAATTTCTTCACGTGTCTCTCAGCTCCATGTGCCTCTTCCAGGTCTCCTTCTGACTGTCCCTCTTGCTTCCATCCTCCGTTCCTTCTCCAGCTTATTCTCTTCTCTTTAGCTCCACTCTCCTTTGGGTGGGGCAGGGAACCTGGAATCTCCCCCTTTCCTGGGGACCACCCTATTATAATATCTTTAATAAAAGCTTGGAATGGGAGAGTGAAGGGTAGAGCTGCTCTCAATGGCACGCTTCCCAGCCTCCCCCTACTGCAAATTCATTTAGATTCCAAGTCTTCATGAACGGTGGAGAACTTCATCAGCTGCCCTGTCCACGGCAGGCAGCCCAGCGGACCTCTCCTGACTCACCTACTGCTCCCCTCAGCAGTGTATTTCAGTCACTCCACCTGTTCTGTTCCCCACTCTGGTGAATCCTCTCAGGCCTCACACCTCTGGCCTATTCCCCAGTTCTTGTATATATAAATAAATAAATCTTTAAAAAATAAAATAACAGCATTTATTTTGGGGCGGGGGTGCTAAATTTGTAAATTGAGGAGCACAAAATTAGGTATCAGCCCAAATTCTGTCCCTCCAGGGTCTTTGTTTAAGGGGATGGAAACAGGAAAAAATGGTGGGAAGAATAGACTTGACTAAGAACTAGAACTGGTGATAGACTGACTGCATGCCAAAGCATTCATTGCTTTTAGTCAAGCTGGTCTTAGTTACCAGGGAGAGGAGAAAAATTATCTTTGTTCAGTTCTTAGAGAAGGCCATGTCTAGTTGGAAACAGTTATTACCAGTCAGACAATAGGGGTTTTTATTTCTTTTTGAAAGTAAAAAAGTCAGGAATTGGGCCTCCTTGGTGGCACAAAGGGTTAAAGGCACTGTGACACTATCTGCAGCCTCTGCAGCATGAATTTGATCTCCAGCCAGGGAGCTACCCACATGGCAAAGCAGACCTCTCCTGTCTCATCCGCTGCTCCCCTCAGCAGTGTATTTCAGTCTGCCTGTTCTGTTCCCCACTCTGTTTCTGGTGTACCCTCTCACCCCCTGCACTTCTGGCCTGTACCCCAGCTCTTGTATGCATAAATAAAAAACCTTTAAAAATAACTAACTAAATAAATAAGTAAAGTCAAGAAGATGGAGTCCCAGGCACAAGATGGAGTCAGTTCAGTCTGCCAGAACATCCCTTTTATAAAAGTTTTATGAATTTTTGCTGAAAATCTGTGAATTTTGTGTTATACTCATCTCTGTTTTTGTTTTATTGTACCACTTCATGTCAGCCAATGTTCTAAGCACAGAAAGTCGACAAGGTTCCTGTCCATAAGAGAGGATGTTAGTGGGCAGAATCAGGGGCAACCCCAGGACCCCTAAACCTGCCTGCTCTGAATGA